GATTAAGACCGATGCCATTCCAGGATGTTATATAGACACTAACCAATTACTGCACTGTAGATTCAGGCCCAGTAAACTTAAGGCGGAGGATGATTGGGCTGACGTGAATCAACTAGTGGTTCCAACATCATCAAGAAAAGATATATCTTTAGCTCATGGCCCAATGTCTCATTATGGGATCCATAAAACTCATAATGCCCTTTTACAGGACAATTTTTGGCCAGGCACGGCACGAGATATCAAGATCTATGTTAGTAATTGTCATACCTGTCAAATGGCAGGAAAACCAAATGTAGGTATTCCCAGAGCACCACTTATCCCAATTTCTATGCCTTCTGAACCTTTTACCAGGTTAATAATTGACTGCGTTGGGCCTTTACCAAAAACCCACGCAGGCAACATGTACATCATCACTATAATGTGTCCTACAACCAGGTTCCCAATAGCAGTTTCCGTTAAGAATATTACGGCTGCTACAGTTGTCAAGCATCTGTTGAAGATCTTCACTCAGTATGGTTTCCCGAAGGAGATACAAAGTGACTGTGAAACTAATTTCACCAATGAGTTGTTTAAGAAAACCCTTCAGGAATTTAACATCACCCAAGTCTTGCCCAGTCCATATCATCCTGCTTCACAGGGATCTCTGGAACGTAGCCATCAAACCATTAAGGCTTTGTTAAAGAAATTTTGTATTGATACTGAGAAGGATTGAGGTAAGCAATTAGATCTCCTTATGTGTATTTTCAGAAGTCCTCCTAATGAGTCCCTTGGAGTATCTCCTTATGAGATGCTCTACGATCATAAGTGTCGTGGTCCTCTTAAAGCTTTTAAAGATTCCTTGACGTCAACCACCTTCAATGATTCCCTTAATGTGCCTCCATTTCTTAAAAACTTGAGACATAAACTTGAACAATTACATAAGTTTGCTAGTGCTAATTTACTGACCTCCCAGCATAAGATGAAAGCACACTTTGACCAGAACAGAGACTTCATTCTAGCCTATTTTCCTATCCCAACTTCTCCATTTATAAGTAAATTTTCAGGACCTTATCATATCAAAGAATGCAAGAACAGCAACAACTACATTCTAGAGACTCCGGACCGGCGTCACAAGACACAACTCTGCCACATCAACCTGCTCAAGCGTTATCGAGGTAACCTGTCACCAAATTAACATCGAGACCATGAAGTCTAACAGCGAGATTTTAAAAGATCTTCCCAAATACCTAGAACATTCTAATAATAGTGCTCCTTTAATTAAATTACTATCTACGCATAAAAAACTGTTTCAAGACACTCCACAGGAATGTAATTTAGTGCAACATGATATCCAGCTGCTTCCTGATACGAGGGCCATCAGACAACTTTACTACCGCATCAGTCTACAGAAGAGAGAAGCCATGTTCGCAGAAGTAAAGTACCTACTCAGCAATGGATTAGCTACACCTTGTGAGTCTCCTTGGGCTTCACCATGCATACTGGTTCCCAAACCATATGGCAAGGTAAGATTGTGCACCGATTATAGGAAGTTAAATGCAGTTACCATCAAAGACTCTTATCCTTTACCTCGCATCGACGACATCTTAGATGCAATAGGTAACGCCACCTATTTGTCCCAAATAGACCTCTTAAAGGGCTATTATCAAATTAGACTTTCTGAGCGTGCTAAAGATATCTCAGCCTTTACCACTCCTTTTGGCCTTTTTAGGTATGAACGGTTACCTTTTGGATTTTGCAATGCCCCAGCAACTTTCCAGCGAGCTGTCAACCTCGTCATTCAAGATCTTGACAATATCTATGCCTACCTGGACGACATCGTTGTGGCAACCAACTCGTGGGAAGAACATCTTGACCGACTACAACAACAATTCTACAAGCTTCTCTAGGCTGGTCTCACCATTAATTTGGGCAAGTCCATGTTTACTAAAGGTAAAGTATAATACCTTGGTCATGTTATAGGAAGTGGAAGCTTAGCACCTTTAGACATACATCTTCAAGCCATCCAAAAATATCCACAGCCCACTTCTCGTAAACAACTTATGAGATTCTTGGGACTAGTGTCTTACTACCGTAGGTTCTGCAAGAACTTCAGCACAGTTGCCACACCTTTAATCCATCTTACCAGCCCTAAAAGGAAATACATTTGGACCAACTCACAATCCATTGCCTTCGAACAATTGAAAACTTTGCTGTGTACTAACCATATTCTCACCTCTCCAGATGTGAAACAACCCTTCATCCTTAATGTTGATGCCAGCAGCACCAGCAGCAGACACTGGGGGTGTCCTGATGCAGCAAAGAGAGGGAAGTCCTACCAGTCAGCTACTACAGCTACAAGCTGAAGCCTCGCCAACAAAACTACAGAACTATAGAGAAGGAGGTACTCGCCATCGTCCTATGCTTGCAACGATATGAACCTTACCTTCAAGGACACCAACCCACACCATCTATTCCGATTATAATCCTCTTCGTTTTCTACAACAAGCCCAATTCTCCAACCAGCGTCTACTTCGTTGGGCCGTGTACCTACAAAACTACAATGTCCAGATCTTCTACATCAATGGATCAGACAATATAGTTGCGAACGCACTATCACGTGTTCATGCAGTGGAACCTTCCGCTTCCACACTCCTTCCAGCATCGACATCTCAGGCATTAGGAAAAGGCTTCGAGGAGGAGCTGTCACGTAAATCCCCCGCATAGCATTGGAACTACCTTTTCCCTTCACCTTCAATGGCTCTGCACTGGAAGTCTACATTTACACCAGCCCAAATGAGTCATCAGTCCTGCCACCTCTCCGTAACACCCCCCCCATGGCCTGGCAAAGCCTGGTACAACTCAGAGGCAAGCCGGGCGCCTCTGCTAACTGGTAGTTTGCCCCCAGAAACAAGCAGTTAGCTGCCTTCAACTGGTAGTGGTGCAGTTCAACACAAAGGCACCACCAGCCACAAACGAGCAGTTTGTTAGTTGACCAGATGTCCACCTTGAGTTGACACCAGATGAGTCATCACCGCCGGACTATATAAAGGGCACCGCCTCCCTGAAGAGGCAGTCTCTCTCTCAGTGCTCTTGGAACACCTAGGTGTCTCTCACCCGTCGTCTGCCTTCAGCCAATGCCGTGTGTCTGATGCCGTGGTAGTATGGTAACTGTCTTCAGTACACCAGTATATCTTTATACTTTGTATTCATTGCTTACAGTTTATTTTTGTATTAATGTCACATTATCGAGTTCACCTTTGCATTAATAATAGCCAAGTATTTTCAAGTACTAATTTTGTTCATTAATATTTCAGTAAATTGTTTTAATTATTTATTTGATGATTTTCATGTGTTACCACCTGCGACTTACACACACTGCAAGGCCAATAGCAGCATTTTTTTTTTTATTTATACGAGGGACAATAACAACATCTTGGTTCAGTATAGCTGCGACACCACAACCCATCACACACACACACACACATATAATTAAAAAAATAAGTATATGTATATATATATATAGGTTGCACCGCACAGGTTGGTTGGAGCAGACCACCTCCAGGCCTCATAATTTGTCAACACCTGTATCTTGCCAGACTTCCTCCCACCATCACAGCCAAAGTATGTCGCACACAATTTTATCTTGTATTTTTCCCATGGTCATTGAATGCATTTTAACAATACAAGGACCAAAAGATTTTGTTTTTTCTTGCTCACGGGAGGTTGTTAGCTATTAACAGGTGCACAGCCCAAGAGGGTTAATCATTGTTTATGTCAAGTATCAGTACATAAATCAAGTTATTCCACACATTATATTAACTAAAGTGAAGCAGCGAACATATAAATTATCTAACTTGAACATCGCAGCCCTGAATGACAACTCAACAAAATTTAGTTGCCCTGAGTCCCTGAAATCATGACAACTAAATTTTCTCATGGACATTAAAATTCATGAACTCATGGGCACTAAAATTCCAAAAACTTTAATTTAATATAATTTAAAATTTATAATAAAACAATTTATAAATCACTATCGTTGTTATTGTTGTTATAGATTCAGCTACTCGGAACAAGTTCCAAGTAGCACGGGCTATGGTGAGCCCGTAAAAATCAATATCATAACAGAGGATCCACAATAACACATGTGCAATAATGAGTTTACTAATCAGTATATATGTATATCTTATATATATATATTTGATATGTACAGTATATTTTTGTACATGTATATTTTTTAAAGGTTATTATTTGATAATATAATTTGAAAAATTAATGTCATATTTAAATTTGTTTAAAAGATTTTATACACTGTATAACTGTTTACAATTAGATTACTGTAGGTGGCCACTAAGACAGCCGTGTCCTGACCGCTGGGCTCGCTGGTGCCTCAGGTGAACCATCTTCATTGAAACAAATGTGTGTGTTCCACTGTGTGAAGACCAACTGTATAGCTAAATGTACAATATGTTAAATACAAGTGCAATTATGAAAGATTTTAATACATACAAGAAAGAACTATCACAGTGTAATGAGAATTTAAAAGGCATCAAAATAAAGTCGTAGCACAGAAAAGATGAGAAAACACAAAAAGAAAATGAGAACCTGAAAGCAAAGGTAATTCAAGCATTTCTAAGGCATTAATCACCTTTCTTAAATCTGGTATAGCATATCTTGAAAGTAAATAGGTTTTCATGCAAATTATTTAAGGCAGTATTCAAATCTGCAATATTCTGATCTATTTAAATTCAATAAATTTTAGCTGTAAGATAATTTCACCAAGTTATTTGTTGACAAAAAATATACTTGTGGAAGAGTTTACACCTGTTTAATCATAGTGTTTAAGAATTAGCATTTGCTAAATTAGTAGTAAACAAAACAGGTTCTAGGGAATTCTCTCCCTTTAGTATTTTTATTTACTCAACATCAACAGTCAGCAACAGGTATGAATTCTGAATTTATAAAAACTTTCAGTGTTAACACCTTCTGAGTAAGCATATTACCATGACACCCCCTCCCCTCACCTGAGACTGAAGTACTGGGTACACTGTGATAGAAGTTTGAGCGTTGCACCACGAGCACTAGTGGAGGGTACCCATAGAGGAAGAGGAGCTTTCATGAGCACCTGAAAATATTATACATTTTTAAAGAGGAGCAACATCAGCAAAGTCAGGATGGCACATAACAAAATATGAACAGTTCATTAAATAGTATATTACGAGTGAATAATGAATCTGGTTACATCTGCCGAATGTCTATATGACACACATTATTAAAACAAATTTATTTAAAATATTCATTAATCAAAATATTGAAAAAAACCAGCGTTGAATGTAATGAAACGCCATTTTCTGGGTGAGACCCGGAGGCTCCCCGGAGCTTATTAGGCTGATATGCTAATGCTAGACTTTGGCATCAGTCATGTGTATGGAGTTCTGTGGGCCTGCCGGGGACCACGAGCCAGAACCTGGCCCCCCTCAGAGAGGCATGGGGAGCAATGGCCTATACAAACCTCCGTGTGTTTAGAAGCATTCTATGTCTGCCATCGACTGGGTCAGGCACCCAGAAAGGTAAGGATCCCAAAACAAACCCCTATTCTGGTGAAAGTATTGCTACCAAAAGCCAAACAAGTGGATAGAACTTCCCTAAAAGAAACGAGCAAACGATCATGACGTCACACGTTGCCGCGCCGCTGTCTGCGCAACTCTCCCCTCGCCAAGAGGGAGAAGGGGGAGCCTCAGACCCCTCACCCTGGCTATCCACCTATCAAAACTGCCGACCCGGGGAAGGGAGGGATGCCGGGGAGCCTTCGGGTCTCACCCAGAAAATGGCGTTTCATTACATTCAATGCTGGTTTTCTGGGGGGGGAGCCCTTCGGCTCCCCGGAGCTAACTACCCACAGAGGAAGAACATAGGGACCTAACCGGGAGGCGGTCGTTGCTCACTCCACAACTCAAAATCGAGACAACTGGCTGCAATTGCCGATCCAAAATGACACAGGCCCGACTATGCCTAGGGACGTGCACATGGTAACGAGCAGCCAGGACCCTGTACGACCACCAAAAGCCCTGTGCCTGCATGTCAGCCCAGGACATGGTGCCAAAGACAGCAGCAAGCACAGTGAACGCACGAATGTCATGGGCACAGGAATAGACCGCAGGCTGGTTAGCCATAAGAACACTGCGGACGACCTGGGAGACCCGCACCCGCAAACAGGGAAGAAAGGGAAACCGTATCAACCCAAAGCGCATCCTCAGACACAGAGGCCAAGGCGCGCAAGTAACGGCGAAGAACCACTACCTAACACAAAACATGATGCACACCCCTAGCCCAACCAACCAAGCATCAACAACCCAGTGACCCCTCCGGAAAGCAGCAGTCTCAATTTTCATCAGAAAAGGAGACGGCTGCAGATGAACAAAACCACCACGAAAACCAAAAGAGCAGAAACCCCTGCGCCGGAGGAAAGCATGAAGCTCCCCAACCTGACCCTCAGAGGCCAATGCCAACAGAAAAAGAGCCTTAAGAACAAACTAGAACCGAAGGGGCCACAACAAACTGAGGAGAAGAAAGAAAATAGCACTCTGTCCAATGACTATGACAGCTCAGGCGGTGCAAGAGCAGGCCGGAGGTGAAACAATGCACGAGACAGCTTGCGAAACGGTGCAGAATTAACATCAAAACCGAAAGCAAGCCGAAGCAGCTCTGCCAATGCCGCACAATACGAGGCGACAGTATGGGGCAAGATGACGGGCCCAAACCTCTACAAGAAAAGGACAAGGCCATGCCAACAAACGCAGCTACCAAAGAAGGGACAGAATGAAAAAGAAGAATCGCCAAAAACCCCACACTGCCGCCAAGAAGAAACACGCAGGTGGGACACCATCAACAAAGCCACCCGACCACCAACAGAAGGCGAGAGACTCGAGGCAGAACCGAACCGGCCCCGCCAGGGCCAATCGAGCCTAGGAAGAGGTGGAGCCGTGGGAAGATCTCGGGTGCGACCACGGAGCCAGCAAAGCCAAAAACCCAAGCCAGCAAAGGAGGAGATGGAACATCCTCCGTACAGAAGACATCCCAACTCCTGCCAGCCCGCCAGGAGATCGGAGACGATAGTCCAGACGTGCGATTCTAGAGAAGGGAAACCGAGAGAACGCGAAAACCCCAACAGGCTGGGTAAGTCAGATAACCAGGAACCGAAACCTGGCAATAGGAGAGCCAAAAGGCACAAACAAAACACAACCATGTGTAGGATAAAAGGAGAAAAATGGAAAAACACAAGAAAACACCAGAAGAAGAGCCCCAGCACCAACGGCCAGGGACAAGAGTGTAGAAGGAAGATGAGGAACGAAGAAGGCAAGGAGCAAAAAGGGAATGAAAGGGACACGACCAACAACACACAGAGCCGCTGGTCATGTCCCAACAAGCCACGCTAACAACACAGGCGTGTGACATGTCCCAGCACAAGACGAAAAGAAAAAAGGGTGCAAAGGTACACCAACAAACCAGTACCCGAACCAAGGAGTATGAGCTACGAGGACATGATCATCACATCGAAGAAACCCAAAATAAGTGATAAGGTAGAAAAATACCGACTACAGGACCCCAGGGGCACACGCACCAGGGGACACTGGTGGAATGAGAGCCCAAACGAGCCAAAGAAACATGGGAAAGAAGTACTGCAGTGTCAGAGTAGGAGACAAGCAGAACGCCTGAGGAAGCGATGGGGTAGAGGATGACACCACACACAGCTTCAAGCGCAGATATGATAAGAGCCCAGCAGGCCCAGGATACTACACATGAGCGAACGACAGGTGAAAAGCGAGGACCAAAAAGCCAGAGCCCAACACCGCAACACAACTAGGTAAGTACCGTACAGAGAATCCAATATATAAGGAAGGTCTAAGCCAGGCACTGCAAGACGTGCAAGGAAAGAGTGACCCAGATAAGACCATGAAAAATGGGCCCATGAACCCAGCTGAACAAGTAAGGCCTCAGGAAGAAGCACGGAAGGGCCAAACAAAAATCCACAACAATCCCCAACACACATCCACAGCATGAAAACTGCTGCAAAATGTCACCTCAGAACATCCAGACAAGAACACTTACCCCATAACATATACCCCCACCATTGTACCTCGTAACCTGGTGGAGGTAGGGCCCCCTATCTGGACTCAAGCATGGGCTGGACATGCATAAGAGTGGGACAGGATGGGTACAAATAGGAGCTGCCTCGTATGGCCCATTAGGCCTGCTGCAGTCACCTATGTTCCGATGTTCATATATTCGTATCCGAAAATCACTAACTAGCGCCTGGCCGAAGAGAAGCCAGTCCGCATAAACTCACCTGCAGAACGTAGGCACGAACGTGTCACAACATAATATAGCCAAGAAGATTCCAAACACTGGCTCCACTGGCCAGGAGCACTGCCAGTGGAAGAAGGCAGAGTCACACATGCAGAAGAGGGTAGAGGCGATGGAGGAGTCCCACACCTATAAGTAGGGAAAACTGAAGCTCACACAGAAACGGCCGTTTCATTACATTCAACGCTGGTTTTCTGTGGGGAGCCCTGACGGCTCCTTGAAGCTAACTACCCACAGAGAAGGAAAAACAGGGACTTACCCGGGAGGCAGCAGCACCGCAGGTCTCAATGTGAGGAAGAGACAATCAGCTGTGACAGATGCCCCAAAGGGAGGTTCACAGGATAACCTAGTCTAGGATACCTAGCCAACTCTGTTCGACCTCCAAAACCCTTGTGCCCAAATATCGTCCCTAGACATATTGCCAAAAACAATCAAAAGAGCAGCATACTCTCCAACATTATGGGCACGAGGGTAGACCACAGGCTAGCTAGACTTAATGACACTGCAGACAACCTGAGACACACACGAACCCTGGAACATGGAACCAGGGAAACCGGATCAATTTAAAGCTCAGTCACTAACACAGAAAAATTGACCCGCAGGTAGCAGCGTAAAGCTACCACCGGACACAACACGTCATGCACCCCGACCTAACCAACCAAGTATCCACAACCAACAGACCCCCTCCAGAAGCCCACCGTCTCATTTTTCGGCAGAAAAGAAGGTGCCAGCTGCAAACGAACAAAACAACCACCAGGACCAAACGAACAAATCCCCCGGCTCTGGAGAAGAGCATGAAATTCTCCAACCCAACCCCCAGAGATCACTGCTAAAAAAAAAAAAAAAAAAAAAAAAAAAAAAAAAAAAAAACTTTCCAGAAGCAATCACAAATCAAAGGGGCCACCACAAACTGAGATGCTGAGAGAAAGATAAGAACCTGGTCAAGAGACCAAGAAGGCTCAGGTGGCGCATGAGCAGGCTGGAGGTGAAAAAGTGGACGAGAAAGCATGAAGAATGGAGCCGAAGTGATATCCACCCCGACCGCAAGCTGCAGAGGCTCCGCCAATGCCACACAATAAGAAGCGACAGTTTTCGACACGAGATGCTGCTCCATGAAAGCCAAGAAAGAAAGGACATGACAACCCTGTCCGACATCAACAAGAGAAAGAAAATGGCGGAAAGCCCTCCCCCCCCTCCAAGAAACTTTGTACTATCGCTGAGAAGACGACCACAGGTGGGAGACCATCAAAGAAGCCACCTGATTACCGTACAAATTGCGACACTACACACGTCGGAAAAACCAGACGCATATTGTGGAGGAATAAGTCGAACCAGCGAGTAATCTCACCCTGCTCGACCTGCTGAAAGAGGCATAGCCACGGAAAAATGTCCAGGTTCAGACACTGAGCAAGCAGCGCCTGAAACCAAGGCTGGGCTAGCCACCATAGGGCCAGAAGAAGAACCCTTCCCTGATAGGAGTCAATCAAGCCAGAACTCGGAGCAACAGCTGGACAGGACGGAGGAGGTACAAGAACCCCCACCTCAACCAGTCCTGCTGAAAAAGCATCCACTACCAGGGCCTCGCAGTTGGAAAACACCACCATGTACAATGGGAGACGCCGAAACCATACCGACTTGAAGAGGCCCACCTCTAGCCAGCTGTACATCCGCCACAGCCAAAGGAAGTGGCATCGACCGTCTACTCCTTCGAAAGAGGAATGAAGCGAAACAGGCTGTCTGTCAGGACATTAGTCATATGTTGACCAAACCACACAGTATAAAGTGAAGAGGCGACGACGTTTCGGTCCGTCCTGGACCGTCCATTGTCGTCTTTGTCTCTTCACTTTCTAGTTTGTGGTTTGGTCAACATTCTTCAGCCACGTTATTGTGACTCCTCGTCTGCATTGGACACATCCTGAATGTGAATGGTGCGGAGAGCCAAACCCCAAGAACTCGGCAGAAGAACTACCTAAAGCCCAGTGTGCCCCACAAGCAAACAAACACTATCCTACTCGATGTAAGGCAGAAAGCCCAATACCCCCGATGCAACCCAAGGGCAAGGACAACCTCAAGTGAGGAAATCCTCTAACGGAGTGATTCCTGAATGTCCCAGGGATGATAACCCTGACCACGCAAGGGTTATCTTGAGAGATTTCGGGGCTTAGTGTCACTGCGGCTTAGTTCTCGACCAGGCCTCCACCCCTAGGAAGCAGCCTGTGACAGCTGACTAACTCCCAGGTACCTATTTACTGCTAGGTAACAGATACATCAGGGTGAAAGAAACTCTGCCCATTGTTTCTCGCCGGCGCCCGGGATCGAACCCGGGACCACAGGATCATGCGTCCAGTGTTCTGTCCGCTCAGCCACCGGCTCCCTAGGGCAGTACTGATGAAGGCGATGAGTCGCAATAACGTAGCTGAAGAATGTTGACCAGACCACACACTAGAAGGTGAAGGGATGACAATGTTTCGGTCCGTTCTGGACCATTCTCAAGTCATTCACAATCGACTTGAGAATGGTCCAGGACGAATCAAAACGTCGTCATCCCTTCACCTTCTAGTGTATGGTCTGGTCAGTACTGATGGAGCACAAAGGGAAGGTGCCCCTAGATGTATGCAGCTCCTGTATCCTGGAACTCCTGGCCAGAGCATACCACAAGTATGAAACAGCCAAACAAGGCAAAATCCCAGAACAGGAAATCATGGCCTGAGATGAAGTCCAACCGCCAGCACATCAGTCAAGAACTGGAGGGTGGGTTGCCCAGGTGACTTGGGCTCCCTTCCCCTTCCCCAAGGGTGCTGGGGGTGGCACTAATGAGCAGGAGGGGCTAGTTGGGCAAAGTGTTGCTTGTTTGTTTTCTTTCTGGGGGGAGTTCTTTTGCTTTTTTAAGGACATAGGTCACAATTTTTACCAGACAATGGTCTGTTTTGTTTCGCCTACCTTTCTGGGTGTCTTCCCTGGTCGATGGCAAGCATGACACACTTTAAATGTAAAGTGTTCATAAGCCATTACTCATGCACCTCTCTTAGGGGGCCAGATTCTGGCTCTGGTCTCTGGTAGGCAACAAGAACTCTTGACTGGTGACCCCAAATAGGAAAGAACTATATCAGTGGGATAGCTTTAGGAAGCCGACGAGGCTCTCCACAGAAAGAGTGGTAGACAGTTGGAACAAATCAAGTGAGAAGGTAATGGAGACCAAACCTGTCAAAACTTTAGTTTCAAAGCATCATATGACAGTATTATGAAGATGGGACACCATGAGTGATGCTTTCATTCTGTAACTACACTTAAGTAATCACACAGCTATGATTTGGTGCATCTATGCATCAAGAGAGATGTCATTTTCCTTTAGAAAGTAAACTTGTGGAAAATGATTCATATTCATGATTTTGTGACCATGATTCTGATAAAATAATTATGTCGTGACTAGAGATAGCAATGTGCATAGTATACTGGGACGCATTTTGTTATGACAGGTCCCAATGGCAACCGACTAGTGTGTGGCACATACCTATTTCTGTGCGTACCTATACTCTACACATTCTCTGTTTAATGGGTAACTAGGCACAAACAGTTAAGCCGAACAAGACTCAAGGTTTACACAAAGCAAGGCTAGAAAATCCTTGAATGTGAAGTGCCACAAAAATTGGAACAGAAACAAACATAAGTCCTTGAATAAAGAGAGTCCAAAAGGATAACCACCATTACATTAGAGAGAAAGAGCATGAGGAGCTGTTGCTTAGGTTGTACCAGGGACATGACTGAGGTGGCTAGCTAGCTGGCTGGAGCACTGGACTGCCAAGCCTGCCAACTGGTGATGGGGAAGTGTAACTAGCAGCAGTAACTGGCTAATGAGTGTATGTGTAGGTGACAAGGTTGCCAAAGTTTCTCTATGTAATTGCTTGCTTTGAGGCACTTGACTTTTCTAGTGAATTTCCTCTTTGCATGGGTTGATCTGGTATCCCAAGACATCCTTTGCCTCCAATGATTTGACCAGTTTCTACTTTTATGCTTTTGCTCTCTGGTAGGTGCTTGTGACTCTCAAAGGCTTGGTGGGGTGCATAAGTTTTGGAGCTAATGAATCGGTGAACTCAGGAAGCCACGAAAGGGAAGCCTCCCTAGAGAAGGTAAATTGTTCTACTACATTTGGTGTAACCTGTGCACAATATTTTAATTTGAGCTTAGGGATTATTGAGATATAACTTGCAATCAAGCAAATTGCATGGATAAAATTGTATACCTGAGAAAGGAATTGCTTGGGATGAACATCAGCTGGTGTGGACATGTTGATAAGACTGGTGAACTGTTGGTAAGCCACTTCTCTTACTCCTTCACCGCTACATCCAACTAAAACGTCCACAATAAAGTCCTTTACATTCACCATTTCATACCACCTATCTGAAAAAATTAGTAAACATTAAAGTGGCAATAAATATATAAATAAAAAATATATATATATATCTGTATTTTATAATTTTTTTACAGAAAACACACACACACACAAAAATCAATGATCGAAGGCCTCATCCAGTTCTTCGGAGGTGGGATACATGCTCAAGATACAGCAAGAATTTCCTCTCTGGATCGTGACACTGGAACAGGAAACTGGCTGCTTTTGACTCTCTAGTTTGTCTAACGAGTTCCTCACCCATCTCCTTTACAAATTTAAGTGAACATTTACCCCAGGTGCCCAGAGTCTCAGAGCCTATCGGCACGAATCTGTAACAACGTTGTAGGTCCCTGTACTTATTAGTTTTCTGCATCTACCTGAAGGTGGCTTCCCCACCTCCCTCAACTGTACCGTGAGGTAGATAGGTATCAGCCAATGTAGACACACACGTGTAGCCCCACATAACCTGTTTATCATCCCTCCGTGGCTACAGAGTGACTTCATCTGGGTATTTGTGTCTATTGTCAGGTCTGCACAACTACGGTTCCCTTTGTGCTGGACACCCAGCTGTAGCCAAACTTCTCTTGATGATGTCATTGACTGAGTCACGTCTGGCAATCTTTCCCTGTGACTTAGAACAGATGAGACCATGGCTGCTGTATTGGTCTGCTGATGCATAGCTGCAGATATGCCAGTGTTCGGTGCAGATAGGGCTTGTTGCACTTATTTTTGCATATATTGTTATTTTTTTTTACTTTTTTTTTGGGGGGGGGGGTATATTTTAATGTTTTCATCACTGTGTTTTGAAATGAAAATGGTTGAGTTTGGAAACATTCTGACATTAACTTTATCTGAACATTTATAAAAACAACAAAAATATGCCCTTAACAATTACACAAAGTTTTTGCTGAAACCAAGTGTGCAGTACGGTGGTTAATGGAAAGCATTATCACATTATAAGAATTTTTTTGCAAAATATTATAATTTCAATAAAAGTCGACTTGTTAGGCAAATCGGGCCTTGCATAATAGGCCAAGGAATGCATTCTGACTATTCGATATAACATACATACATTACATACATTCCTCACAAAATTATTTTATTACCAATTAGCTGAGGACGGAATCTAAGGCAGGCTACAAGGAGGTGAAGAGCTTGCGAGGCTATAAGGGAATCAGTGGGCCGCACTATCCCATGCTGCACACAAACGCCACACTGCAACACACCTTCACTCTCACTGCTTGAGCTATGGGCACTACCTGAAAAATTACAGATTGACTATTAATATCATTTAATGCATATAAATAAAACTAGACATCTTTATATATCTAAAACATATTAAAAACATTTTTTAGCAACCTTATTCAATAATATATAAAGGGTATTATAAACTCTTTTTACCATTATAACATAGTACTATACTTTGTATATTTTGTATAATAAATGACAAAATATTCATAGTATATTTTGTCACATACTGTACTATGATATATATATTTAGACATACATATATAGATATATTGTCACATACATTGTCATATATATAGATATGTATGTTAAAATATGCATACATACATAGAACATATGTAGGTGTATTGCTCAGATTATTATTATTCCGACCAGTCCAGCGAAACAAGTCATCCGAACCCCCAAAAGAGGTGGGATAGCTCAACACCACTGATAGCCACAAGACAACCCAAAATGCCCACAAATCGGGAGATCAAGCATGGGAAAAAGAGCCAACCTCCCCCCCTCCCTCCAACCACCCAGTTGAAGGGGGTGACCTGCGAAAAGGTCGGTGCTAACCTTGAGAACAATTCCTTCGCTCGCTCTATAAAGATAACAAATATTTTGTGCACTTTTTTTTTTTTTTTGGCGCTTGGGCGGCTAAGCATTATTTCTTTAGCGGCACATTAGAGGTTAAGCATTAATTCACAATGCTTATCACATAATTTAAGACAATATATTATTTAAAAATTAAGACAAAAACATTGCAATGCCAGATAATCTTAAAAGAAGAATGATATTGAGAAATCATTGCAGTGAACTTTGATACCTGTGCTACTCTGCCTGGAGGATTTGCAGTTTTCAGGTGGTGAAAGAACTGGGTCATGCATATTGAGTGTTGCTGATGAGAGGTAGAGCTTTCCTGCAGCACCAGCCCATGATACTCTCATCAAGCTTGACACCATCTCGCTCCATTCTTCTACACTGAATCCCTGAAAAGAGAATGAAAGTTAATAATAAATATAAACTGGAGAAGATTAGATTCAAGAAGAACCTGAGAAATTATTTGTTTGGAAATAAAGTTGTTCATTCATGGAACAGCTGCCTTTTATGGTCAACAGGACATCTACAGTATCCTTTATTCTTATGTACAAACTAATTCTCATAAAAAATCTAATTTAATACAACCTTTATATTTTTAGTGACATTATGTGATATATCACTACTGTACTGGGAACAGCATCCAGCCTCAGAATGTTACTGATTATTATTCTAACAGAATCAATTAAAAAATAACATACCTAGATGAGTATTCTTAAGCAAATTAGATCCTTTAGCTACTACCTTTATGATTATACTGGTAATTTAATCAAGATACAGAATTGTATATTAAATCTACTCACTAGAGTACTCGCTAATCTACTCACTAAAGATTTGCATACTCCAAAAATTCATATGTAATAAAAATTTGCTGCCCACACTTGTTGTTATTGTACAAATAAACTATGCAATCAGAACTAAATATGTGAATTTAATATGAAACAACTGACAATTAAAGAAACAAAAAAAAAAACAGTGTTGAATGTAATGAAACGCCATTTTCTGGGCGAGTCACGGAGGCTCCCCAGAGGTATCCATGGCGGATATGGATATCCTAACTATTTTTCATCAGTCGATGTGGGTGGAGTTCTAGACCTACTGGGGACCACGAGCCAGAACCTGGCCCCCCCTCACAGAGGCACAAAGAGCAATGGCCCATAGAAATGCACATGTGATTTGGAGCATTCTATATCTGCCATCAACTGGGACAGGCACCCAGAAAGGTAAGCCCCACAAAACAAATCCCTATTCTGGTTAACAATGAAAATCATCAAACGAGTGGACAGAACTCCCCAAAGGAAAAATAAGCAAACAAGTATGACATCACATGAGCCGTGCCGCATGTCTGCGCAGCTTTCCCCTCCTCAGAAGGGGGAAGGGGGAGCCCCAGACCCTCGCGCTGGCGATCCTCACCTCAGTCCCGAGGCTGGATATCAAAAACGCGAAAAACCGCTGATCGGAGGGAGGGAGGAAGAGTTGCCGGGGAGTCTCCGGGACTCACCCAGAAAATGAAAGTTTCATTACATTCAACGCTGGTTTTCTGGGGGAAGCCCCTACGACTCCCCGGAGCTACCTCACCAAAGACGAAAACAGAGGGACGCATCCGGGAGGCGGTCGGTGCTCACACCACAACACGAAGTCGAGACAACAGGCTGCAACAGCCGACCCAAAGGGACAGAGACCCAGGAACGCACACGAGCGAGCGTGCAGCCAGGATCCAGCGCGACCACCAAAACAACCTGTGCCCGAATGTCAGCCTAAGACATGCCACTAAAGACGGCAGCAAGTGCAGTAAACCTACGAATGTCAAGAGCATAGGGAGAGACCGCAGGCCGGTGAGACAGAAGGACCCAGCGGACGACCAGAGACCCGAACCCGAGAACAGGGAAGGGGTAACCGGATCAACCCAAAGCGCAGCCCGGCCTTAGAGGCCGTGTCGTGCAAAGAACGGCAGAGAGTCGCAACCGGACACAAGAAGAAGCACCCCGGCTCAACAACCAAGCAACAACAACCCCAGGGACCCCTCCGGAACCAAAGGGGCCACAACAAACCAAAGGGAAGAGGGAAAAGAGAAAAGAGCACCCTGCCCCAGAGCAGGACTGCTCAGGTGGAGCATGAGCGGGCCGGAGGTGAACAATGCCCGAGACAACCCGTGAACGGTGCAGAAGGAACAAAAAAACCGGACCAATCCAAAGTGACTCCGCCAGTGCCGCACAAGACAGGGCGACAGTATGCGGCCAGAAGACGGCCCTGAACCACCTTAAGAGAAGGACAAGACCACGACAACAAAGAGTGCAGTACACCTTCGAAAGAGACAAAGAAAATGAAGGACCGCCAGAAAACCCCATACCGCCACCGAGACGAAGCACGCAGGTGAGACACATTACAAAAATAACACCTGATCACCAACCAGATGGTGAGAGACTAGTCAAAAGTACCAGACCAGAAGACTTGAGGAGAAGACAGAACCAGCCCCGCCATGGACCGGACCGACCACGTAAAGGAGGCGGAGCCATGGGAAAACCACCCCGGGTGCGGACACCAAGCAAGCCGCAACAGAACAAAGGCTGTCAAAGAACCAAAAGTGACAACCGCCAGAGAACCAGGAACCCGAACCAGGAGCCCAAACCCGGCAAGCCGGGAAAGACCAGAGAACCAGGAACCCAAACCCGGCAAGCCGGGAAAGACCAGAGAACCAGGAACCTAAACCCGGCAAGCCGGGAAAGAACCAACCTGGCCAGTAGACACTATCTGTCCGGGAGGCAACTCCCTCCCCCCCCCCCGACCCATGAAGGAAGAATAAGCCCGTCAACAGACGACAAGAATCCTAAGAACCAAGGCCCTAGCAGAGGCCAACAAGGAACCGAGCAACACGAGACACAAGCCAGAACCCGAGACGCGAAGCGAAAACCACTGACGGTACTTTCGTAAAGGAAAGACGTACTTTCCGAAAAGGAACAAAGAAAAGCCGTAGCCAGGACCAGAAGCCAAGCGCCCCCGGACCCAACGAAAAGGAAGTAGGGGCAGGAGTGGGTGACCGGAAAGCTATGTATACACCAGCAGACATTGGAACACAGAAGCTGGTAGTGACAGACAAGAAGAGGAAGAACTCAAAGCTACACTGGAATACAGGGCCTGGTCTACAACAGGAAACAAAACAAGAAGACATTCCAACCTAGCATGAGCATGAAAATAGCCAATATGCACCTACCATGATACACAACAATGTGTAGGAGAGAGGTAGGAAGACGTTAAATGCAACGAAAAGACCCGAAAGACAGGCTAAGCACCAGAAGCCAGGAACAAGAGCAGAAAAAATCGGCAACAGAAGGTACATGAAACATATAAACAGGCTAGGAGGGAGAGAAAGTCAAGACACACTCGCCCAACTTAAGTGCTAGTGAGAGTAGCAAACCCAAAGGCGTATATACACGTTGTACATATATGAAGCATAAGGATGTGTATATGGAATGTACATATGGGCGAATGCCAAGTCAAAAGTCAACCAGAATGCCACCAGGGCAAACCCACGCTCTGCGCCCCACAACGGTCGCCCAAGGCAAAATCGAGGAACGCCAAGAATATTGTGGAAAACACCTCGAGAATGCAGAAACCAAAAAGCCTAAGCAAGGAAATGTTAGGCTAGGCTAGGCTAGGTTAGGTTAGGCTAGGTTAGGCTAGGTTAGGCTAGGTGAGGCTAGGCTAGGCTAGGGCAGTGTCGTGCTACTGTGCCATGTGGACATCAAGAAATGTCAAACATGAAAATCAGTGCTCGCCGACGTTAAACCCGGGCGACCACCGTGGAAACACAACACATGGGCTAACCCAACTGCTACTTGGGTCAGACAACATTATGGGTTGGAACGCACATAAGGGTGCAGCCAGGCACTGAACGAGTGTCCAGCGTCCCGGCCAAGTAAGTCACCAGACTGCAAAATCTCACTTGGAGAGCAGAGGCACTATCAGGTCATGTGCAATGGCCGTGTCATGGCCTGGGAGCATGGCTAGTAGAGCACGTCCAGAGATGTGTGTGCAGATTAGATGAAGTGGAGAGGTAGAGAGGTGGAAAAGGCACCACCCCCCACACAAACAGAGAAATAACTAGACGAGTCCCCCACATAGAAATCAGAACGACCCCAAGAACCAGGGGGCGATGACAGGAGAGATAAGATGAGCGAGAGCAGTGTATAGCCCGGGAGAAAGTGCGCTGAACACCAACACACGCTCACACCGAGCAGAAGAAAACAATCACCCACGGCGCATGCGCAGGACACATGAGGTTCGGGCTGCACCACTCAACCCCCGGGGAGGATGCCAACAAGGAATATGGAACCATTAATAGCAATGGCAAGATAAAGGATGGAAAGAAGCAACAATTAAAATTGGAAACAGCATCGAAAGAGGAGAAAAAGGGATGGAAGAGTACCAACTAGTCCTAGAAAGGACTGGAGGTAAGCCCCACCAGAAGGTGATAGACGTTCCAATAATGCACCCAATAGCATCCATCTTCTTAAGGTTATCTTGAGATAATTTCGGGGCTTTAGTATCCTCGCAGCCCGGTCCTCGACCAGGCCTCCACCCCCAGGAAGCAGCCCGTGATAGCTGACTAACTCCCAGGTACCTATTTACTGCTAGGTAACAGGCGCATCAGGGTGAAAGAAACTATGCGCATCATTTCTCGCCGGCGCCCGAGATCAAACCCAGGACCACAGGATCATGCGTTCAGTGTTTTGTCCGCTCAGCCACCGGCTCCCTCAGCCGTGGGAACAAAGCCCGAGACAACCCGTGAACGGTGCAGAAGGAACGACAAAACCGGACCAATCCAAAGTGGCCCATGACCAAAAGTCATGCAAGACCTAATAAGACATGGAACGAACCCGGGAAGGGGCCGACACCTAAAGGCAACTCGTACACAGAGGGGAAAGGGAAAAAGAAAAACCCCACTCCAAGTAACAGTAAGCCCCGCTCGGAAGGTCAGAAAACCCAGGCGGAGTCCAACGGGGCCCAAGGCCCCAAGTCAGCCCCCTCCCCAACCCCGGGAACCCTCACGTCAGGCCCCGAGGGCAAGTCGTCCTCCAAAGCCCCGGCCTCAAAAAAAAAGCCAAGGTGGCCAAAAAAGCAGGAGGAGAGCAGGCCCACTGGTCAGACCCCGGAGCTACGGCTGGAGGAACAGACTCGAATGCCTCCAACGCAACCCCCAAAACTGCCAGTCTCAAACCTCGAAAACCCAACCCGACCTCGAAGTTCACAGACACCTAGGAACCGGAAGCATGGGGGAGGGGGGGGGGGGGGGAGACCTAACGAACCACAGCAGGGGAAGAATGAGGGGGCATGGACTGAATCAAGGCCGACATGACCAACACCCCCAAGTCCGGTTCCCAAGAAGCAAAAACAAGGCCGAGCGGCGCTTTGGGTTGATCAGGTTTCCCTTGCCTGTTCTCGGGTTCGGGTCTCTCCGGTCGTCTGCCGGGTCCTTCTGTCTCACCGGCCTGCGGTCTCTCCCTGTGCTCTTGACATTCGTAGGTTTGCTGCACTTGCTGCCATCTTTAGTGGCATGTCTTAGGCTGACATTTGGGCACAGTTTGTTTTGGCGGTAGCGCTGGGTCCTGGGTGCACGCTCGCGCGTGTCCATTCCTGGGTCTCTGTCCCTTTGGGTCGGCTGTTGCAGCTTGTTGTCTCGACTTCGTTTTGTGGTGTGAGCACCGACCGCGTCCCAGATGCGTCCCTCTGTTTTCGTCTTTGGTGAGATAGCTCCAGGGAGCCGTAGGGGCTCTCCCCAGAAAACTAGCGTTGAATGTACTGAAACGGCATTTCTGGACGAGTCCCGGAGGCTCCCCGGCAACCCTCCCTCTCTCCAGTCGGCATTTTTTCGCGTTTTTGATATCCAGCCTCAGAACTGGGGTGAGGATCGCCGGTGCGAGGGTCAAGGGCTCCCCCTTCCCCCTCCCGGGGAGGGGGGGAGATGTGCAGACATGCGGCGCAGCTCATGTGACGTCATACTTGTTTGCTCGTTTTTCCTTTAGGGAGTTCTGTCCACTCGTTTGATGATTTTCGTTGTTAACCAGAATAGTGGTTTGTTTTGTGGCGCTTACCTTTCTGGGTGTCTGTCCTGGTCGATGGCAAATATAGAATGCTTCAAATCACATGTGCATTTCTATGGGCCAATGCTCCTCGTGCCTCTGTGAGGGGGGGCCAGGTTCTGGCTCGTGGTCCCCAGCAGGCCTAGAACTCCACCCACATCGACTGATGAAAAATAGTTAGGGTATCCATATCAGCCATGGATAGCTCCGGGGAGCCGCAGGGGCTCCCCCCATAAAAGTATACGCACCTAAATGATGAATGTTCACAAATTAATTTAATAATGGCATTAGTATGCAGCTAATTTGAAAATATCCATGTTCTTTCTGTCAACACCTACCAATATGACCCTGCTGGCAATAATGGGCGTAAACGAAGAAAACGCAATGGGAGGAGGACTAGTTTGAGCTGATGAATCAAGGGCTGAACGTTTTGGTGGGCCCGGATGTGGTTGTTGCCCAATTACAGGTAGTTCTTGTCCTTTAGGTGTTGACCCACAAAGTAAATACCTGTGAGATAAAATATTTTGATTCAAATTTTTATAAAGGCAATATCTTGGTTAACATAAAAGACTTTCACTGTCCATTAATTCTCTGTTTAGTGATTTGATACTACCTTTGAGAGCTTCAGTCCATCCTCCTGTTTAGGTATTATAGTAATGATGAAAATCATCATACATACATTTATGTACATACGTATATAAAAGGCAATTAAAAGTAAAAAACCAGCGTTGAATGTAATGAAACGGCATTTTCTGGGAGTGTCCCGGAGGCTCCCCGGAGCTATCCAGGCTGAATGGATATGTATAACTTTCTAGCATCGGTCAAAGTGCATGGAGTTCTTGCCTACCAGGGACCACGAACCAGAACCTGGCCCCCTCAGAGAGGCACGAGGAGCAATGGCCTACAGGAACCCCTTTGAGGATGGAAGCATTCTATGTCTGCCATCGACAAGGAGAGGCACCCAGAAAGGTAGGCGCCCCAAAACAAACCCCTATTCTGGTGAAAAGATTGCTACCAAAAGTTGAACGAATGGACAGAACTCCACAAACAAAAATAGCAAACTAGCATGACGTCATCACATCGCCACACCGCCGTCTGCTCAACCCCCCTACCCGGGAGGGGGAAGGGGAAGCCCCAGTCCCTCCGTGCCGGCTATCCAACTGGCAGTTCTTAGGCTAAAACAAAAGTGGAGCCAGAGGCACCCGACTGGCCAGTAAACCCATCAACTAAGAACTGCCAATTGGATAGCCGGCGCGGAGGGTCTTGGGCTCCCCCTTTCCCTCTCCCGGGGAGAGGGGTTGCGCAGACGGTGGCACGGCGATGTGATGACGTCATGCTAGTTTGCTATTTTTGTTTGGGGAGTTCTGTCCATTCGTTCAACTTTTGGTAGCAATCTTTTCACCAGAATAGGGGTTTGTTTTGGGGTGCCTACCTTTCTGGGTGCCTGTCTTGGTCGATGGCAGACATAGAATGCTTCCATCCTCAAAGGGGTTCCTGTAGGCCATTGCTCCTCGTGCCTCTCTGAGGGGGCCAGGTTCTGGTTCGTGGTCCCTGGTAGGCAAGAACTCCATGCACTTTGACCGATGCTAGAAAGTTATACATATCCATTCAGCCTGGATAGCTCTGGGGAGCTGTAGGGGCTCTCCAGAAATCTAATGAATTTGAACAAGCCGGAAAAGTTTTTGTACTGATGTTGCAAAGAAATCTTAACCTAATCTAACCTTTCTAGGTACACACACACTATCTGCGGCCTAATATTATACTGTACAAATATGTGCTATACTAGGGCTAGAAATATTTAAGCCTGAGTTTTAGCCTTATTTTTTTTACTATAAAGTGAATACAGTACAGTAGTACCACATTCTAATATCTAATCGTCCATTACGTCTTTGTATGTACGATGGTCCAGTTATAAAAAGTACTACTGTATCTAAACAGGACAATGGGTTAAGTGCTTAGGTACTAAAGCTGTCACTTAATGGCAATTATTTCACACACACACAAAATCTCTTTCCCATGTTCTATTGATAAATATTGTATCTAGGGTTAAATTGCCCAGATCATGGCTAGTTCCTGGCCGCTGGTGCCAAAAAATTCAGCACTGAATGTAATGAAAAGCCTCTTTCTGGATGAGCCCTGGCGGCTCCCTAAGGAGGGACAAGAACGATAGGCAAGAACTCCATGCATTGACTGATGCCAGAAAGATATACATATCCATTCAGCCTGGATAGCTGCAGGGAGCCGACAGGGCTCCCCCAAGAAATTACAGGTTTAGAACTTTTAATCAGTCTCAATAATTAAGATGACTTATTGAATGGAGTCTAGCTGTAAAGGATCTTTGCACACTCTCTAGGTCACCAATTCTTCTGGCTCTGAATGGGGCTGCTAGTGTGCAACAATATTCCACCCTAGAGAGCACTAGTGTCTTGAAAAGTATCATCATTGGTATGGCACCCCTTGTTTGGAAGGTGTAGTTGTGAAAGCTATTTTATTGTGTTCTTTAAAAAGGTAAGGTCTTCCAACTTGATTACTCCTACAGCCTTTACATTCCTTTTTCATTCTATGGTGTGATTTGATTCCATTTTATATATGGTTATCATTTTTACATTTTCGTTTTTTCCATAGTGCAGGAGCTGCAACTTATTTCCTTAACCCTTAACCACTGCACTGCGCAATGCACCTCTTGACGGGTGGTGCCCAACGCGCCTCAGGGATCTTACAAGTATAGCGTATGATTGTAAACTCTTGTAGCTACATGGAGTTCACATCAGCTTCCTCAGGGCTTTTGTGAACAGACGCCATTTAAAAAAAATCGCTGGCAACATTCCCGGGTGTGAGAGCCTCAGTACTGAGGGAGCCAAATCAAGCGCAGTAGGCTGTTGCCTTAACTTTTTTAATGACACTGATACCTCACCACAGTTAAGTGTTCAGACATAGGGAAAAACAAGTCTCTGGAAAGGTTCTTAGTGAAAAACAAGCAGTGAACCACAACCTGCATGCATACCACTAGGTATGTTTGCATGCATACCTAGTGGTATGCATGCAAAATGTAGGAGAGAGAATACCCCAGAGAAGTCATCACTGCCTGATGTTATAATGGAAGGGGACTCCCTTCCAAACACTAACACCTCTCCACCTTCTCTCCTCACCGTCTTCCATACCCCAACAAGAGTCCTCATTAAAGGTAAGTTGTACATACTGTATTGTAGCTAGTACAAAAAGACTGGTATTTGGTTTCAAATGCATTTTTAAGTTAATACTTTTGGGGGCGTGGAACAGATTAATTTAATTTACATTATTTCTTATGGGAAAATTTGTTTCGACTTACGAATTTTCGAGTTACAACCCGTCTCTGGGAACTGATTAAATTCTTAAGTGGAGGTACCACTATATAACCAATTTTCCACATTGGTGGGTTTTAGGAATTCTCCTCCCTTTCCATCCTGATCCAGGGTGTGCTGTTTAAGCAACAGTTCATCCAGTTTTGGTAGAAATACTGGAGCCTTATGTCCAGTTAACATAGCCGTGTAAGATGGAAGGTGTCAGTTCTACACAAATGTGTGAAAAGATTCAATTCAAGGCGACCGAACATCTTGTAGATCCAACAGGAAAACACGTCACCAATGGTCCCTCCATAGAAATAGGATGGAAATGAGATAGCCAGTCTGCGAGAATGTTGGACACACCCCACACAGGAACTACATGAAAAACCAAACCCAGAAAAACATGGAGCCAAACTACTCTAAGCATCCAGCACCATGGGGCGATGGACCGAAACAACCCTCCTTAGTTTAGGCAATGAACCGCATAACAGTTGGAGTGGAGCCAGGGCATGGAAACCAAAGGATGCCAAATCCTCTTCAGGCCATACAACACAATGGGAAACTTGTGCATTGTACTGTGCACCTGAAATAACTGGCCCAACTACCAACCCTGGGCAACATGGTGAAGACTGATCAGAAAGCCCCCAGAGCCAAAGCAGCCATGAACACATAGGGATATGGGAAGGATGCAGAACCGGAACTGAACGCTTAAAATCCGAAGAGGAAGCCAGCAAGAAAGACGCTGTAAAAGGGCAGGTGGAGTCCAAACCCACTGGACCTAGGAGTGGCAAAATGGATGAAACTTGAGAAACTGAACAAAGCCCACAAGCCAACCAATACCAGCCCACGATGAAGCTGCAGATGGAGCCAAGCTGACAGAATCAGGCAAAGAGAAGCAGGACTAGTCCCAAACAATGCCAAGGCAAGTCCAAACCTGGGATAAAACCAATTGGGACTCGAGCCAGTTCACCAGGAACCTAAACCTGGTGAGCTAGTTAAGAACCAAATCCTTGGTTAGCTGACACATGGACCAAATGGAAGCCCAAACCAGCCAGTCGTTGAGGTCAAAACCACAACTTGACAATGAATGTTTTAACAATGGGACAAATAAGAAGCAAACTTGGGAATATTCAGGCACAGGCAGTAGTGGCGAGGAGAGGTATAATATATGAGGGAAGTCAAACCATGCAATACTGCATATACGTGAGTCAAAACACCCATTTCACTTATGGTAAAAAGGAGAAATGCTTGATGTGACTCTGTACACATGCAACTCAGGCTTGGGTACAAATATTACTGGGAATATGGAATAAGTGTTAATGATAATGAAACTAAGTGTAAACTATGAGGCATGTTAAGGTCTCACACTCTCACCCATTATGTTCTTGACTGCCCATTGATTAATGTATACAGAAATACTGAGATAAGGACTATTCCTGAATAATAATATGGATGTGTCACAATGGAAAGACTGATAATATTCTGGAGAGATATAAGAATTTTTCACCAAGATTGTAACTTTGTTTGTACTCTGTGAATGTCTATTGCAAATTGTCTGTGTACCTAGTTATAAAGTATTTGTGTGTACATCTGATAACATACTGCATGTGTAAAGGAAGAAATGTATGTTTATTACTCATTGTTCAGTTATGTTTTGTTTGTGATGTGTCTATATACATATATATATGAACACATTGTACAGAACAGGGTAAGAATAGCTTGAGCTACATCATCCCTTTCTGTGAATTTATACCTCAATAAACTTATTTCAATTAAATTTCACACTATTACCACATTATTTATAACAGTTTACATGTTTATGCAGTGTTGCAAGCCACTAACCAGTTTTGGCAAGTGTGATAATCTTGCAACCATTGATCCACAGTGTTGCCACACATGCTTGCCAGTTGCCAACAGCATCTGACAATGCAATGTGCGGCTCAATACACTATGCTAACTCGTGCCAAAATAATTCTATTATCAGAATTCCGGTCACTAAATCTTGAACATGAATAATTTTTCCACGCACTTTTTTAAAATAACATGAGGTCCAGTTGCATGATGCACAGAGGAATCAAACTGCAGCTGTGTGCTGTGGCTGTTTACCCGTGCTTTGGAAACATCGTTACCAACAACGGGCTTACCGATATCTGAACCTTGTACATTATCATTATCACTGTCATAATTTTCTATGTCACTATCATCAATAAATACTGTAAGTGCAAATACTTATTTATAATATCATTAATAAGTGATGTTAGGGCTTGAGTTAAACAGTGATGCTGTGAGCTGTGGTGCATACATTACACATGGTTGTGTGTTAGTACCAAGCATCTTGCACCCAAATTTGTTTTTCAAAAAATGGCATCTATTTACTGCAGATCTGAGGAAGTGGATGCGAGCCCTGTGTACCCACAGGAGTTTTTAAGTCTTACGCTAGACCTACAAGCATTCCTGGATGCTCTGCATACCACTGATGAAGACCGTGGTCTCTATTCATAGTTGAAGGGATAATGAAAGATTTTTCTTTTCTAAATTTTTATTTATTATAAAGTTGGAATTTTTTTTGCCAAGACTATGTCTGGTAGAAGCAGCAATCGACATGGGGGTGCTAAGAGGAAGCAAGTTGTAGCTTATCTTTAATGGAAGGCACAAGTGATTGTTCCGATTTGAGTGTTGTAAAGGATTTTGGTAAAGGTGTGAGTACTGTATGTGATATAAGGAAATGCAAAGCTCATGTATGGTATTTTTAGTGCTGTGTTAGGTCAAAACTGAAGTCTTTCATCAAGCAAGTTGACAAACTCCAACAAGTTGAAATTTCTGTGATTGTCAATGAAGTATTTGAGCACTGGATGTACTGTATATGAAGCTCCTCCTCTAATCATGTAAATTTATGTTTAATGTATGTTGAAATATATACATGTTGGTTGTGTTTCAAGAAATTACGAATGTTAATTTCTGAACTTTCCCAGTAAGAGTTCCTGCTAATGCTGATGTCTGGCTAACTCGTATAGGGGCAAGTCCCCATATGATCCAGTTGCAAGTGTAGTCAGTATTTTCAATTTTGACCTTGTTGTTTGTTTTGGTTTGCCCTACCTTTCTGGTGGCTTTATCATTCAGGTTGTGTGATCTTGAATCCTCTGCTCCTTGCTCCTCTTAGGGGACCAGGTTTTGACTTCTGGTTTCCATTAGGCTTTTAAAGACTCACAAGGGCCTGCTGTGATTCAAATTGGGTGGAGCTAGTCAGAATGTAGCAGCAGGGAGCCCCCAAAGGATTCCTCCCAGAAAATGGAGTCATAACTAAAGGGCTAATTACATGGCAATTCCTTCTTCTGACAAACAAAGAAAATCTAATTCTTATTGTGGATACAAGCATGAACTTTAGGTAAAATAAACTTGCTTTCAACTTATAAATTAAGAATACTACATAAAAATATTCTTCTTACCATGTTATGCTATATTTTTCTTACCTTAATATTTGCAATGTTATTAAATAAACATTCTGGCGAATCTCATAGTCAACTTCCTGAGGCAGGGAGTCTTTCTGTAGCAATGCTGTAATAAGGCTCAGTCCTCCACACATAAGGAATTCTTCACAGAAATGAGCATTATTGTTTATATGGCCTTCTGCTGAAATTGGCATGATTTTTCCTGAAAGGACCTGAATAGAGAAAAAATAAAAATAAATGGTTTTGAGATCTTTTGCATAGCATTTTGAGAGATTGGCTGAAAAAGAGAAATACGATTAAAACATGAGTGGAAAACCATTTTTTTACCAATCATACACACTCCTACCAACCACTATTGAGAAAAACAAAACATAATAACTTTTATGAAAGTTTATATCTTGAGGTTATTTTGAGATGATTTCGGGGCTTTTAGTGTCCCCGCGGCCCGGTCCTCGACCAGGCCTCTACCCCCAGGAAGCAGCCCGTGACAGCTGACTAACTCCCAGGTACCTATTTACTGCTAGGTAACAGGGGCATCAGGGTGAAAGAAACTCTGCCCACTGTTTCTCGCCGGCGCCTGGGATCGAACCTGGGACCACAGGATTGCGCATCCAGTGTTCTGTCCGCTCAGCTGCCGCTCTCCTTATAGATTAATATCATATTCTATCTCATTTGTCTATTAATGACACATTTCTTCTGAAGGAGCATTGACTGAAAATAACTCCTTTACCAAGAGCTACTGTATATAAACATATGCTTTTAATTTGCCTTTTATGCCTTTTAATTTTCATGAAATACTATCACGCATTCCACTTCACCTTTCCAGATGTGACATGTATGTGCTTATGCAGTATGCATACAACACATACCCACTTTCAGCTCATACAAATTTTCCATTTATGTTTTTGAGGGAGCCCTCTGCGGCTCCCTGAAGCTATCTCGCAGAGATGGCCCCTAATAACTAAATCCCATCAGATGTGGAGCTCAGTTCGACCGACCTAGGACCAGAGTCAGAATCTGGCCCCCCTCTCACAGAGGAAGCAGGTGGCACTCTGTCACCTCAACAGGGTAGACACCCAGAAAATCAGCAAACCAATACAGACCACTACTAGGTTCAAGAGATTGAAGCCTCACAACCCACTGAATTAACGCCCCACATTAAAGTAAACAAATGATCAAAAACTCTTGAAACAAGCATGCACTTATGTGCCCCACCCCTCCCATTCTTTTGGGGAGGGAGAAGGAGCTGGGGCTCGTATTGTCTATTGGCTCAAGCTCTCACTTCAACCGCTGATACTGCTCGTGTCAGCCAAATGCAGGAGGACCCCCAGGGCCGTCAGTAAGTCGTGACTGGTCCTGCTGCTCTTCAGCTAAGTGCTTGTTTGGATTTTGACCTGTATGATTTTGTTTTGTACACAGTGAAGCATGGGCCTGACCTTTTGGTACTTAAGAGCTGCATGTGCTCAGGGTTCCCTTCCCTAAGTGCTTTCAAGTGCTGGTCCTGCACTGACAAGCATTCTCTGGTGTGTTTGAGTTTGTCCTCTTATGAGGTCCTTCATGCTTGAGGTGGCCCTCGCCTTGGGTTAGTCAGCTGGCTCTTAGGGGGTCTTGACCCAGGACGAGAGCGAGCGTTGGCTGGTGGGGCGCACTTGTGATTTGCTTGCTCACATATATGGTGCACCGAGCTCATCCTTCACAGCTGTGAAGCCCAGGCTTTGTTGGCTTACGTTCCTGCATAGCATTGTAAGTGCTTGGGTGTCCTGGATGGTTTACCCTTTAGGCCCTGGAAATCCCCTACAGGTTCAGTTGGCTAATGGACATTGTCTCTAAACCCATTCTTGCTTCTTGCTAATTTGATGGTTGCTTGTCGTCCATGCCACAAGGAAATGATCATTTATTAATTCATTTTGCCTCGATCATGCCACCTGTTGGGTCCTTACCTTGTGATGATTTCGAGGTTCAATGTCCCCTCAGCCCGGTCCTCGACCAGGCCTCCTGGTCGGAGACACCCAAGACCCAGAGCACAAACCCCAGTTATGTGGGGTTTGCGCTCGCCATGTGGTGCACTTATCTGACCCTCCCAATGAAGTTCATAATTATCGAGTGGCTACCGCTTTAAGGGTTCTCTTTACCCATCTTCAGAGGTCTAGGCTGTGTGCCTGGTTGGATGCCCTGGAGATGCCCCGACATGTTTAGGGATCCAGAAATGGAGGTGTTGGTGATCTCCACCGTAGCTCCATCCACACCACCTCTTCCTTTCCCATCAGACATGGTTCATCCCCCCCCCCTTCCTTGCTTCCAGCCTTGAAATGTCCGATGGTTTTTAGGTTGGGATAGAGTTTAGCTCAGGATGTAGCTTGGCCGACTAGGGGGTTGCCCCTTTCTGATTTGGGCGAGGAGGCAGTTAAACCTACTGGTCCCACCGAGGTTTTGAGGTTTTATCTTCAGCCAGCCACTCTTCCTTAAGCCTCTCCTCCGGACTGCTTTCTTATTCTGAGCATTGGGGGTGAAAGCTAGCTCTGCTCCAGAGCCTTCGCCTTTGGCTTTCTGAGGCTTGGGTGGAGTCTGATACTGGCCCTTGGGTTTCTTTGAACTATAGGTGGTTCTGATGAGGGCTTCTTGTTGCAAGGGGAGGGGGTTCTCATAGCCCCTTCCTTTATAAGTTCTTTTAAGTTCTGGTTTCCCCAGGGTTCATTTCCATGTACTGTTAGGCCTGTTGGGACTGTCTTTCCAGAGGTTTTCATCCTCTCATGTTCCTCTGTTGGTGGCTCAGGAGAATTTTTAGTCGAGTTATTCAAGTACAGTACCTCTTGCAAGAACCAAAATTTGCCTCCATGATGGACCCTGCCTCTTTTGAGTTTAGGTCTTCTATTTATTGGATGCACTTACGAGAAGGATTATGACAGAGGAGAACACCATGGAGCTTAAAGATGACCTGAACAAACTGAAGGAATGGTCCAACAAATGGCTGTTAAGAGTTTAACCCGAGCAAATGTAATGTGATGGAGATAGATGTAGGAAGCAGGAGGGCCAGATACAACGTACCACTTGAGAGTTGAAATTCTTCAAGAATCAGAGAGTGAGAAAGACCTGGGGGGTTGATATGACACGAGACCTGTCCCGTGAAGCCCACATCAAGAGTATATGATCACCGACATATGCCAGGTTGGCCAACATAAGAACGGCTTTTAGAAACTTGTGCAAGGGAGCCGGTCGGCCGAGCGGACAGCACGCTGGACTTGTGATCCTGTGGTCCTGGGTTCGATCCCAGGCGCCGGCGAGAAACAATGGGCAGAGTTTCTTTCACCCTATGCCCCTGTTACCTAGCAGTAAAATAGGTACCTGGGTGTTAGTCAGCTGTCACGGGCTGCTTCCTGGGGGTGGAGGCCTGGTCGAAGACCGGGCCGCGGGGAGACTAAAGCCCCGAAATCATCTAAGATAACCTCAAGAAGGAATCATTCAGAACCTTGTATACCACATATGTCAGACCAATCTAGGAGTATGCAACTCCAGCATGGAGTCTGTATCTCATCAAGCACAAGACTAAATTGGAGAAGGTTCAGAGGTACGCCACCAGACTAGTAGTGCCCGAGCTGAGGGGTATGAGCTACGACGAGACTACGGGAATTAAACCTCATGTCACTGGAAGACAGAGGAGTTAGGGGGAGACATGATCACCACATACCAGATCCTCAAGAGGAATTTATAGGGTAGATAAAGACAGTTTATTTAACACAAACACGGGTTTGAAGGGTACAAAATGAAGGAAACTGTATAAGAATATGTGCACTGTGTACGATACTTTAAGCAAGATAATAAATACATGATTAAAAAATTAATGAGCGAACACAGAATGGTCGAAATTACCTTAAATGTGAGATAAAAGCAAACACATTCTAGATAACGAATATATCAAATTTTCCACAAAAACTTGAAGGGGTAAACAATAAAAAGTAGACAAACCAGGAATATATTAACATACAGTACCTCAATGTTATACAAAAGTCTAAATGGTGTCATATCAGCTGCTGATAAATCAAGCAAAGAACGTAAAACTTCTCGTCCAGTTTCTCTGTCTTTCTCCTTATCTCGAGTCTTATCTCTCTTGGCAGGAGAGCCATAAGGAGTAGTCCTTGGGCTAGTATCAGAGGCAGTAATTCCAGCACTGCATATCGAGTCAAACTTGTCAGCAATGCTTGGGTCCGTAGGCACAAGATATAGTACGCGTCGAACAGCCTCCACAATCCTGTTTTAAGACAGCTGAATAAGTTCAAGGTAGTAAGGAGAGAAACAATTTGACAATAGTAAATTACTCTCAAACTCAAAAGTAAATTACTTACGGTGGAGTCTACACTTCTAAATATTTTCAAGATTGTTTCTGTAAAATATTTCTCCTGCAAATATTTGCAATTACTATTCTCGGATCATTTTCTGAAATGACTTCTCAATATTTCTAACAAGTTGCTCAGCTTATAAAACCATCCTCATATTTCTTTACTCTTAATTTAAACTACAATTAATGAGGTATCGATTACTACTGGTCTCACTGATGCTACATTGTACATAAGGAAAATAATTTCCCTGCAATATATGATAGATGAAATACACACACAATGAAAGGTTCATGTAAATTGCATAAATCAAAGCACCTCCCAATCGACCATACCCCACCTTCAATTTGAAGACTCATGCTAGTGCATTACTGCTAAAACCCTGACTTGACTTAATCCCACGAGAGGGATCAGAATATATCAGTAAGCTGGTATATCTTAAGATATCTTATGTGGTGTGAAGTTTACATGTGGGGCTGCAAGAACATAGTGAGTTAAAGGAAAATAATTATTACAGGCAAGTATAATAAGTAAGGCTGGCAGAAATATTTCTTTCTTTCTGATTGCAAGTGCATGCATCACTACCAATGTGCATATGGCAGATGCTCCACAAAGATGTCGGAATCCAGAAAAATACAAGAGCAAGTGTACAGGGCTTGGGTGCACTGTGAGTAAGGATCCTGGTGTGGTCCCTTCTCAGACTTGGCTTCACTGGGTCCTGATCCACATGGGTCGTGGGATCTCCTGAATGCACAATGAAATACTTTAAGAAATTCCTCTTTGGGTCCTCATCACACTTGTAGTTAGTGACTAATAGGCAGTTTGGTGTTTAAGGCACGGGGAGGAAGAAGGCTTAAATGCGAATAGTGGCAGTATTTAGAAGTGGTTCAACGAAACAGCATAAAGCTTAACAATAGATTATTTACAACTTAATCACTAATAAAATGGGTGCTTGATATACTCTTGATTGGTGTCAGCAAAGCTTTTATCACACTAGCATGACATGAGACCTGTAACTAATCGATGATGGTTAACTTGTGGACAAAATCAAACTTTATAATGTTGACAACCAATCATTAACACCGCATTCCTAATAATGCTGGTATGCAAAGGGACACAAGAGTTCCGATCAGGATACCAGGCTATAATCTTGCACAATAGTTTAACAATGGCACTGTTAATGTGCAATGACATCAACAGATAATAATCACGCAGAATGATAGTACACAAGAACTAAATGGGTGGTGTATGTGAAGCTCACATTGACTGACTGTGTAATGTCATGATACCACACAAACACACACACACACACACACACACACACACTGTAGAGTCTGTATTAGTTTATATCTGCACCTGCTGCGGGTGCTGAGAGAGTAAGAAATTCTGGCTGACCACTTGGATCAATGCGTATAAAGAAATTTAAACAATAACTAGACTCTGTACTTACAGTAAGGCCGACCCTCAACACACTTGTATCATCACTCTGGCTCCCGGGGAGCCCGAGTGATGGTATATTATTCAAATAATAAATTATTATTCAATAGTACTGGTATGTACCACACTTGCCGGCGTAAAAGATGCACCCTCGCACACGACACACCTCTATTTTACAAGGCTATTTTGTGGAAAAAACTTTAGTATGTTTCATCATACATTTCTTGAAAGATATTTTAAAGTGGATTTTGTACCCCAATTCTTACCTCCTCTAAGATCAGCTGTGTAGTTTATATTTTGGGCAAAAGAATTGCTATACAGGATGTGAAACTTGAATTTCTGGATGTGATGTTGTGTGTTACTACAGCAGGCCACCAGGGCGTTGAACCCAGTGGCGGCGCACTATCACAGCGCTCTGGTGTTGTTGTCATTCACTTGATAGTTAATGAATGTCAATGAATGATGAGGGTTAATGCCGTGATGAGGATTTGAACTTACGTCCGAGAGGATCCCAGACACTCCTTAATCGACTGCGCCACGACACGGTAAATGCCCTTGTGGATTTGTTCATTTGATGCATCACGCTATTGTGATTTCTGTGTAATAAATTTATTGTTGCATGTATTCTCTAGAGAATTTATTTGCAACATTTTGACACCAAATTTATAGTTATAACCGAGCAAATAACTTAAAATCAATTGCACCCACAACATTAATTTCTTTAACCCTTGGACAACAGCTATGAAGAAATGGTCATACCCGGCTTTAAAAAAAAAAAATAAAAAAATAAAAAACTTACAGAATTATTAATTTGTATGCAAAATGTAAGAAAAACTAAAAAATATAAGTGAACATTTATCGTTTCACTGGGTGGAGGAGCTCTGCATGGGCTGCGTCTGGCATTTGTCAATGTCTGATGCTCGACTTGTTTGATGCTTCCAGTTTTATCATCAGATGTTTCACTGTTTTCTTTTTTTTTTTTGTCATTATTTACATCAACAGAGAGCTATCATATCTATATTTGCATCATACATAAGACCCGGACAATAATTATTTAAATCGTCATATGACAACCACCACTCCCCTAGTAACATTCATGACGATAACGGCATTCGTACCATGAAATGGCAGCATGATTTTTTTCATGGGTCAAGGTGAACTCTTATATCCACATAGATATATTATATCCATATTTGCATCATACATGTAAAACCCAGACAATAATTGTTTAAACCGTCATGTGATGATAACCGAGGTACCCTTAGGGATAATCACAGCCTAAGAATTAAAGTTATGGATGCAAGTGGCTTCAACAATTTCTTCCTTCAATGCATTCCACTTGCTAACCCACTCATACAGGGCATCGGAATGTTCTTAAACTTCTACAACTCAATTTTGTATCTAGGTTCTACCTCCTTTCAACTTATATAGACTGCCATTGTTCACATTGTTTATTCCCTTGAGGATGTTATATGTAGTGTTGTGTTCTTATATGTATCACCTGTATTTTTCTTTCCCTCTAAAGTCGTAGAGTTGAGTTCTCTTAACTTATCTTCATAGTTAATCCTTCACAATCCCAGTATTACTCTAGTTGAAGACCTCTAAACTTTAAGTTTTCTTCTGTACTTCTTGAGGTGCAGGTTCCATGTTGGAGATGCATACCGACTATGCATAAGACTATAGATGCAGAAATAGTCTTCCATATGCAGTATATACGGACAAATAATAGCTAGTGAGTCTTCAAAGTCCTAATGTGTTGCCCAAGGCACAGTCATTACAAGCTTGTAGCAGAAGGGAGCTACTGAGAGAGCCCTACTAGAAAATTTAATAAACATTTTGAGTAGAAAATAGTCATAAAATACCTCAAGTACACTAATAAATCATCTATAAATCTTAATATATTCCTACCTACCTAGGTTCATCTAGTTGGGAGAGCTGATAAAGCATTGTAAAGACATCACGGCCTTGACTGGCCATAACAACTCCTGGCAGTTGCTTTTCTAGGTCCAAATTGTATCTACTTCCATGGCCATCACCAACAGCTGCCGAGAAAGCTCTGGCACCTAATCTTGAGGGCCCAGCAACTGCTCCACTTGCCGTTCCAGAAGCTCCGGCACCATTGGAGCTGCCTTCCTCAACTGTATCACAATAACTGGCAGTACCTGGCAATTCATCCCAATTATCACCAACCTGCCAACAGAACAGTTATGAATTATGTGGGATGGTAAAGCATGCCAGATATGAGATTTGGAGTGATTGAGTGGTCTCAAGATTAATAGATCTTGATTTTTGGATATCTGGGTAGAATGGCTGATGGTAGACTTATGAAGATATACAGGAGTGAAGTACAGAGGGAAAGAATGGTGGACAAGCAGCCTATATCGGGTAGAGGAAACTCGAGTCTCAAGATATTGTAAGAGTTTAAAGCTGACCCAAAATATAATGTGTAAAAGTACATTAGCTTTACTGTACTTTTAAAGAAGATATACAGTATCTACTCTAAAAGCCTCACTTTACCCATTATTTCTATTGCTATAAATTAAATACATATATTAAATACATACCAACATTGTGAACACTGAATAATTTATGTCCTTCTAATAAATGACAACAATGTGCGTAAGAAGTTTCTTAGTAAACAAACAAAATTTTTATTCCAAATCATATCCAAAGTGGTAATCATCGAAAGAAGGCACCAAGCCAGGAAGATTATGCAGTGCTGTCTGTCACTAGATATTCAATAGGCATTACTTATCTCTCAAAATGCCAATATGAATGATATTTAAGGACACAAAGCGAGCAATATAAAAAGTATCCGATTCATCAAAGGATTCTGTTGAAGGCCAAATGACCCCTGGGACATTTGGAAAGCAAGACATATGACCATCCTGAAAATACGGACAGTCTACAAAGAAGAGCACAAATAAATGAGACAATGCAGTTCAAACAAAAAGAAGTGGGACATTGTTCCATTAGGTGTCCATGAAGTTGTGTTGGTGTGACCAACAACCTAGTCAAAGCCATTTCCCATCATCTATTACTATGGTAGGAGGATCGCCAAGGAAAATGGTCACTTTAAGAGCATGCAGTTTATTACCAGTAATGGCAGCCCAGTGATTGTGAAACAGTTGCAGAGTGCAGATGAATGACTGGGTAGATAGATCCCTTTCCATAAAATGTTGCAAGCACAAATGGTTTCCTCGGTGAAAGTGTCCGCAGGTTCATTTGAGGTAATTTCAATATGTCTGGAAACCCAGCAAAACTGAGCTGTCTTACATCTCCTAGGGATAAGAAACAACAAATACTGGATTTTGACCACCACAGGATGCAGAGGGCTAAAAGACTCCCAAACAGTGAGGGACACTGCGAGAGTCAACCCAACCCATCCTCCTGCTTGAAGTCTGACTATTGATGATTGTGATGATCATCAATAGTCATGAATTTGTACGTACCTAGCCTTTAGATAGTAGTATACTGACTAGTAAGGAATTCTTTTAAAATAAATAAAGCTAAGACACAAACTTAAATATTCCTAGGCCTAGTATAGCATACATATGAATATATTAGGCCTCAGATATCGTGCATTAGGCCTAGGGAGGTTAGGTTAGTTTAGTTTGTCAAAGCAACACAAGCAAAAAAATAGTTTTCCGGTTTGTCCAACTCAATAGTTCAGATTTCTACTTTCTAATTTGGTTGATCGTCGGTATATATACTATGGTCCTCATCGTTACTATAAGGACTACTAAAACTGGAGGATGGGGCTGGTCCACCACAATGTCAGGAACATTGATGCAGAGAAAGCAGCTGACAAAGCATACAAAACTGCATAAAGTTCTGCCGTGAAGATGCTAGTGTCTGGGGGCACGTGGCACACACAGGTTTGATAAAAACAAGTGTTGAATGTAATGAAACACCAATTTCTATGAGAGCCTTGGTGGCTCCCTGAACCTACTATACTGATATAGTTCCAGACTACAAGGTACCACCAGTCACAGTTCTACTAGAGACCAGGAGCTGGAACCTGCCCCCCCCCCCCTTCCTCAGAGGCACAGGGAGCAGTGGCTCTATACAAATTTTTATGTATATTTATTCATGTCAGCCCCAATGAAGGAAAAGCACCCAGAAATCAGCAAAAGAAAACAGCCCACTGCTTGCTTAGAAAACCAGACTGCAGCCTAAAAAATGCCAAAAGAACTCCCACAACAATGTAAACAAATTATCAAAAATTCTGAAACTAGCGCAAGCTAGTTCACCCTACCTCCGCCCTCATTTGGGGGGGGGGGGGAGAGTGAGGTAGACCGAATCAGCCAGCTGCTCCACCACCAGTTCTTATAATGATGGAGATGACCCCAATGCCTTGGGGGAAAGGAGGGTTTCAGTAAGCCACCAGAGATCACTTAAAAAAATGGCTTTTCATTACATTCAATGCTGGTCTACTGGGTGAAGAGCCATCCTTCTCTCTAACACCCCAACTCAAAAACTGCTCCCTTTCTCCTCCTTTACACTGCCTTCATGAGACCAGTCTTAGAGTATGCAGTCCCATCATGGAGCCCACACCTAAAGAAACACATCAGGAAACTGGAAAAGATTAAAAAATTTGCTATGAGGCTAGTCCTGGAGTTGCATGGGATGGGATATGAAGAGTGACTGAAGGAATTGAACCTGATGACGTTAGAAAAAAGGAGGGAGCGGGGAGATATGATAGCAGCATACAAAATACTTAGGGGGGATTGACATAATGGAAATAAACAAAATGTTCACACACAATACAAACAGAACAAGGAGACATGGGTGGAAGCTGGAAACTCAGACGAGTCATAGAGATGTTAGAATGTTTTCTATTAGCATAAGAGTAGTGGGGAAATGGAATGAACTAAAGGAGTATATTGTGGAAGCAAACTTTATTCATAGCTTTAAAACTAGGTATGATAGAGATGTAGGACAGGTGTCATTGCTTCAAACAACTGAAGGCCAGAAAGGCAGAATCCAAGAGCCAAAGCCCGATTCTGCAGCCACAAATAGGCGAGTACTCTGACACACTCTCATACAGATTGTCTGAGGAGGGGTGACCAATTACACAAAAAACACTTATTGCTTTTTGGGCAGGCATGGTCAAAATGTGTACAGATATGAAGAAGATAACAAAGAATGAAAATAGAGACTCATATGTTACTTACATTGAAAACCCTAACAAAATGTTAAGATAAATTTCAAAGATTTTTTACACATTATAACTTTTAAAGGTAATAAAAATATAAATTACTGCAAGATTAGGGAGCCGGTCGGCCGAGAGGACAGCACGCTGGACTTGTGATCCTGTGGTCCCGGGTTCGATCCCGGGCGCCCACGAGAAACAATGGGCAGAGTTTCTTTCACCCTATGCCCCTGTTACCTAGCAGTAAAATAGGTACCTGGGTGTTAGTCAGCTGTCACAGGCTGCTTCCTGGGGGTGGAGGCCTGGTCGAGGACCGGGCCGCGGGGACACTAAAGCCCCGAAATCATCAAGATAACCTCAAGATTAAAATCAAAACAAATTTTTATTATTACCATCTTACCTCTTTGAGTTGGGCAGTGCTTGCCATATTAATCTTTGCTATGACTGCCATGTTTGACGTGATACCCAAGTGATGCAGAAGACGATTGTCCTGCTCTCCACCATTTACTAGCATGCCTCCACAACTTTCTCCAAATGAGAGTGTCTGAACCTGGTCTAAGGGAACTCGGGCATAATTGGCAATTTTTCCTCGCACTGCACCAATATGCTCGTTACTGTGGCACTGGAAAAATTATGCAGCTTTTAGATAATTTAAATACATTATACACACACACACATTATATATATATACACACACACACACACACACACACACACACGAGAGATATAAACAGATATACAGTATATAGAGATATAAACAGTCTTCATTTTGGTTAACAATGAGTCCACTAACCTCAATGTTAATTTCCATCTTGCTTGAATCACATATAACATGAAGTATCACCGGTGTGCCTGTAAACGAGGCACCATGAGGAGGGAGGGACCGTGGACCTGGATGCTGCTCCTCAATGCAACTAACATAGCGCTCGGCTAACAATAAGACTCGACGTATGTGCTGGAGGCAGTTATTTCTAGGTAGAGAAAACTGGTATTTAGGTATTATTAATTCATTAAACATGTATGGGGAACAGAGCCTCAAATGCAACATCATGTCAAGAATGTCTAATAGGAGAATGGATACCAATATAAAACTGAACCTGTGAAGAAAATACAGTATATAAATTGTAATACACACAGTTCAAATTATGTAACAAAGTACAGTACATGCATTGTCATAACCCATTTCAAACTCTTCATATGGTGCAGACACATCTCCAGAGAAATAAGACAAAAAAAATTAAAATTTGTTCTAGATGGTACAAATTTCAGTAATAAAAATCATTGAAAGTGATGAAACACCTCTTTCTGGATGAGCCCCAGTGACTCCCTGAAGCTTTCTCATTGAGATTGCCCTCACACAAATGGGTCAAATCAGATGCAGGAGTTCTGTTTGGTCTACCAGAAAACAGAGTCAAAACCTGATCCCCCTCACAAAGGCAGAAAGAGCAAGTGATAATTTGCTACAGCATCAGGAAAGCATCCAGAAAGTCAGTGAAGCTTTGCAGAGAAAAGGAGAGATAACAAATACCAAAGCCTCTAAATCGCCAAATTCTGCAAACGATTCACACAGAACAAGAGAAATAACAAGTACTGGTCAGAACAAATCTGATATGCCCACGCATAACAGATCTGCCTGAAAAATCTCCCAGTCAAAATATAGCAAATAGACTAACCTCATTCATCTTTGCCAACATACAAGGTCTAAAATCAAAGGCAAAAAACAAAGTACGAAATGGCCTCACAGAGGCAAGTGCAGTATTTGGAGCTTTCACAGAAACCCCCATGCTGGGAAACTGATAGACAGTGAGATCTGGATACCAGAACATAACCTACATAAATGTGATAGAACAAACAGATCACATGGATCACATTTTTATATTAGAAAGAACCTTGTATGCTCAGAGTTCCTTAACTCTACAACTGAGGTGGCAGAGGTACTGAGAGTAAAACTAAAGATAAGAAAATTAGTTGTTACTCTGTGAGCTTGCTTATCCAGACCACAGTATATGGATATGACCCTCCCCCAAACAGATAAGCCAGAGATCCGGATAACCCATATATATCTTACCAGGAAAGTCTAAAAATTAACATTCACAATTTTTTGTACCACAACCAATGTAGTTTGAATTTCCACACACACTATAATTATAAAATTTACCAGCACTGTACTGTAATTTAAAACCAAAATTTCAGCTTACCTTGTTGTAGTTCATCTTCTTGGTTGATGCTGCACATCTTGAAACCAATAATTAACAACACAAGAATTACTGTACAGTACATGAGCTTGGCAAGGTCAGTTTTGACTGCTAGCTGCTGAAGCATCACCAGTTGAAGGTTCTTGGCTTTCTGATGAGACATCACTGGTTGAGGGTCTTTGGATTGCTTGAGGCATCAATGGTTGAAGGTCCTTTTATCTTACAATGCTTTGAATGCCTAACCCCTAGCAAACCTCTCTCTCAAAGCAGCAGCTACCTGAAAGGTTTCTGCATTGGAAGTCGAATCAGTCAATGTAGAGACCCTGAGGAAATAAACTGCACAGGACTCAGGGGACACAGTTGTCACCAACTGAACAGGCAGCATAGAAGAGACAGAAAGAACGCCCATCACCTGGTAGCAAAGACGTTGAGCACCCTTCCAACTCTGCATATTGTGAGTGCAGGCTCGACACGCTGAACTAACCATGCCAAACATCAACCAGGGGATTATCTGAGCTTGAAGGCAGTTAGCCTAGCAGCACTCCAAGACACTGAGGCCACTCACTAGAAGACAGACGCCAAGCGCAACAAAAACAATGCGACTACAACTTGTACCTGTAGCATGTCATTATAATTACAATACCTATAATTATATACATTTATATTTCTTTATTCTAGCACTGTTGAATAATCCTCTTTATCTTCTAATTATAATTATCTGCCGCATGTAATAAAAGCAAAGCTTATTCAATACGGTATTTATGAAACTGTTAAGTTATTTACCTAGATGTAGAAGGAAGTCCTCCTAAATCTGATACTGCCATAGCTGTCAATGTCTTTGTAGCTGTAGAGACGGCAGCCCCAACTGCAGTTTCATTTACACGTAACATGGACTTCTATGAAAATAATGATTACTGTATATTAGAAGAAAAAAAATTTCACGAGTACATTATGAGAATCCTGTATCATGTAAACTAATCATCACGTACAACATCATTAACAGTTTAATTATCAAAGTTTTAACTATTATTCTTAAAGCTAAATTTAATACCATTGGTAATCACCCAAAAATAAAATCTATATATCAAGTTTGATTATTCTTCAGACAGCATTCTACTAACCTCTAGTTTTTTATAACACTCTGAGATAAATTTGGAATGATGCTGCGGAGGGTCGCGTTTGAGGCGAACAGAGAGAGACATGTATGACATGTCAAGCAAGAGTTTCATGGCATCTTCTGCAAGTTGCTCCTCCTGGCACTCCAGTACAAGCTGCCATATGAACTCCATTCCGAGGGGATCAAGTTTATCTACAATCTGAAAAAAGTTATCAGAAGTTTTGGTGAAAGATAAGTACAGGCTAATAATAATAATATACCAAGTGATTAATGATATATTTATATTTCCCTTAGATGTATTATAAATTGCTTCATTCAAACAGAACTGGAAAAAGAAATTAACTGTACTGTATTGTAAATTTAGCATTGAAAGTAATGCAACACCTTTTTAGTGGGCCACGGATGCTACAACCTGGAAATGTCCAAGCAATGGGAATGACACCAGCCGTCTAGCAATCCAAAAATGCTTACTTGGGTCTAGGATCAATATCTAGTCCCCCTCAAAGAGACTTGTGGAAGCCTGGAAATCAGAGACTACTACAGAACTAATGGAAAAATACAAGAAAGCAGTAGCATTCCAGAACAAGCAACTGCTTAGGCCACATGTCAATACCGAGCCCAGTAGGCTCAGGAATCTGTACACCAGTTGATTGACAGTTGAGAGGCGGGAAAGAGCCAAAGCTCTACCCCCTGCAAGCACAACTAGGTGAGTACATGTGACGAGCTCCATGAAAAACAAAATACAATACATCTCAACATATTCTAGTGATACATAAATTAAGCACAGTCAGAAATCTCAAAGGGAATCTAAACACGTGAAAAAAATTTTATGTAATGAAATGGCAATTTCTGGGTGAGCCTTGGAGGCTACCTGAAGCTACTATCACTGATTCAGTGCCATACTACTAAGTGCCATCAGTCGCGGAGTTCTACTGGCCTAAATGTGTTCATCGTATTTAGGTAAATATTGGTAATGCAGTCATCGTAACACGACTATTTGAACACCCAAGTCGGCCTTGGGTGAATGGGGGCTGTGATAATCTCTACCTAGAAACCATAGGTGCGGGGCTCGGACGCCCACCTCCTGGGGCTCGTGTGGCCCAAGCTCTAATCCAGGAGGTTGGGGTCGTTCTTGCCCTTGCCCTTGCTGACGTGGTTCTTCTCCGGCCCCAACCATGGCGGTCTCCGGGTTTGGAGTCCCTGTGCCTTCTTTTACCAACTTTGAGGTAAACTCCGGAGCTGGAGCCCCTAGGGCAGTTCATTGTTGCCTTCAACCTCATTCTAACATTCCTGCAGCGGCGCTGGAACCAATCGTTTTGGCATTTGCCTTTCCATTGGAGACTTTCGGCATCGTGAAGAGGGAGGACCTACTGCATTGGGGTACAGCTTCTTCCCCGTATCAACCTACCCTGGCTTTGCACCCTGGAGAGGCTACTCCAGACTGACAACCATAGTGCAACTCCATAGTCTCCTGAGATTGATGGATGCCTACTAGTAGGAGGATGTACTAGGAGCATCCTGCCATCGTGTGTAATTACCTAAGTGTAGCTACAGGATGAGAGCTATGCTCGTGGTGTCCCGTCTTCCTAGTACTCTTGACCATATGACACTTTGAAACTTAACATTACCTACTTTGAAAACATTAACATTACATTACTTTGAAACTTAACTGAGGGAAAATGGTCCTCAGGACAAATTTCAAGGATGGCCAGCACCTAGCTTAAAAGCATGGTGACCTGAAGCTTCTGACGAAAACTTAAAAGCGCTACAGTGGTGAATATAGCAATCCAACTGACCTAGGAGGGTTGGTGGAGGGGGAGGATCTGGGTCTCTGGCCTACCTGGTGGTGGTTATCGGTACGAACAAATTCAAGCTAGTCTTGAATGATTTGATTGTCGTTTTAAATTGTTTGACTGTTTTGAGGCTTCTTTTTCTATGATCCCTTGCATGCCTCTGTAATGCTTTGCTGACTTTATTGATGGTTCCAAGTGGGAGTGTCAAAATGTCACTCGCTTTTTGCTCCTCTGTGAAGGGGGGTCAGATTCTGGCTCTGGCCCTGGTAGGCCATACAGAACTCCTGCTGCTGATGTGACCTAGTAGCTAGGAGAAATCTCAGCAAGATGCTCAGGGAGCCACCAGGGGGCTCCAAACAATAGGTAAACTAAATCTGAATAAAATACTTACAATTACATTTCCACTCCGTATAAGCTTGTGATCATTCAGATTCACTGCATGAAAGTAATCAACAAAGCAGGTGAATGCGGGGCGAGTCATGGTGACAGGATCAAGACGAAGAAGCTTCTCACAAAAGAGGTCACGCTGAGTACTGCTTTCCAGGTCACCAAGACATCCACTAAACCAACTGAAACAAGTCTGGAACAAAAAATATTTATTAACAACAAAAATATAATATGACTACCTATTTGAAAATACTTTCAGTTAATATTCAAATAATGAAATAAAGGAACTGACCTCCTTATCATAACTGGATGCTGTAGGGTTAGCCACTAGTGTGTCCCAAATGTCTTTGCAACGTGGCCAGGCTAGATAAATGTCACCTTCTTTTAGCAAAAACTGTAGAAACTCGAGATGAACCTTTAAATACTGAAACAAAAACAAATTTAGATGTAATCCACACGTTAATAAAAATTATGTCTATGAAAATGCTAAATTCCCAGTAGAATCTACATTCACTTTCTTATATGAAATAACTTATTAAACACGATATCCTTTATGTTTTAGGATTCCTCCAAACCTCTCTTTCAGATTCCTCTAAACTCCGAGAGTTCGGAGGAATCGGAACGCTCCACAAGACCAGTCACACAGCCACAAACCCCCACGCTGTGCTGTGAGCCCAACGTAAGTGCTGGTGCCAACGACCTTAGTCCAACTGGGGAGCACTTGTCACAAAACCCCAACCAACAGCCGACGCGTCCGTGAAGACGTTGAGCTACAGGGGGAGAAGGCACAACGGCATCAAACCCCGAAAAACCAAAAGAGGAAGCTCGAAATGCAGCAACCAGTGCACAAACACTATAGGAAACACCCAGCAATCACAAGAGTGGTTACAGCGGCTACCCTGAAGGTACTATAACAACCACTGAAGCCAAACCCTGCCCAACGGGTAAACCAGAAGAGCAAAATTCAGACCCCTGCAAAGTTGCTCGAGTAACCGCCAAGACACCCAGGTCCCCCTTAACACCAGCTGACAGTAAGACTGCAGCCTAAGCAAGGCTGCAGGAGGCAGGGAAAGTGACAGACTGAGAATCCCAAGTCAGTCCCAACCAGATCCAAACCTGGGACATTCACCAGGAACCCGAACCCAGTGAGCTGGATAAGAACCAGATCCGTGGCTAGCAGAGATTAGAGAAAAGGCAAACATCGTTCCAATGTATAAAAATGGTATCTGAGAAGACCCTCTAAATTATAGATATGTATCATTAACAAGCGTGGTAATCAACACGCTAGAAATTTTGTTAAAACCAAATGGGTAGACCACCTGAAGAGTAATGACACAATAACGGAAAGACAGTATGGTTTTTGAACAGGAAGATCTGTGTAACAAATCTACTTAGTTTTTATGATAGAACCACAGAGATTCTACAGGAAAGAGATAGATGGGATTGACTGTGTCTATCTGGACCTAAAAAAGGCTTTTAACAGAGTCCCACACAAGAGGCTATTCTGGAAACTGGAACATGCTGGAAGGGTGACAGGACATCTTGTGACATAAATGAAAACTTTTTTAACAGATGAGGGCAGTAATCAGAGGCAATGTATCTGACTGGAGGATTGTTACTAACGGAGTACCACAGGGTTCAGGTCTTGCACCAGTAATGTTTATCGTCTACATAAACGATCTACCAGAAGGAATACATAAGTATATGAACATATTTGCAGATGATGATAAGATACTGGGGAAGACAGGAGACACAGATGATTGTCATGCCCTTCAAATTGATCTAGATAAAATAAGGGTTTGGAGCGACATGTGGCAAATGGAATTCAGTGTGAATAAATGCCATTTTATGGAATGTGGAATCGGAGAAAGTAGAACACACACAATTTATAAATTATGTGGAAAGGAATTAAAGAACTCTCAAGAAGAACGAGATCTATTGGTTTCTTTGGATATCAAACTGTCACCAGAGGAACACACAAACAACATTGTGAGAGGAGCGTATGTGTCACTTTCCAACTTCAGACTTGCTACTAATTACATGGATGTGAAATACTGAAGAAACTGTTCATGACTTTTGTGAGACCAAAATTGGAATATGCAGCAGTTGTATGGTGCACACCAATAGGAAGCCCACCAATAAACTGGAAAAGATGCAATGGCATGCTACAAAATGGCTTCCAGAACTGAAAAATCCATGGTCATCCTAGCATACACAACAAAAATCCAAGGTCATCCTAGTATACATAACAAAAATTCAAGGTCATCCTAGTATATACAACAAAAATCCAAGGTCATCCTAGTATACATAACAAAAATTCAAGGTCATCCTAGTATACACAACAAAAATCCAAGGTCATCCTAGTATACATAACAAAAATTCAAGGTCATCCTAGTATACACAACATAAACCCAAGGTCATCCTAGTATACACAACATAAATCCAAGATCATAGTATACACAACAAAGATCCAAGATCATCATAGTATACACAACAAAAATCCAAGGTCATCTTAGTATACACAAATTCAAATATCATTCTATTGTATCTTATCTTAGTATAGTATCTTAGTATACATCTTAGTATACACCACAAAAATTCAAGGTCATCCTATTGACTCACATATGAGTGTGACAGGGGCTGCCCCCAAATACACTTTTACATAATTGTTTCAGTGTCTGCTAATCGTTTTATATCTATTTTTTGCAGTAATATTATTCAATAGTGTGTAATATGTAGAATATATATAGTTGAATGTGAAGAATATCGCTATGCTAAAAAATATAGGGCTCATATATAATGACACGTATATTATATTCTTAGAACAATCAGTGTTTATGCTGTTATTACACTATATACACACACATGTTATTTATAAACATCTACATTCTTTGTATTGAAAGAGGGGTGTCAGAAGTAGAACATTCCTAGATGACAAAGCCAGAGTGCATGGGGGGGATTGTGTGAAACCCTGGTTCGGCTTCAGTGGACGCCTCAGGAACCCTCAAGGGTTCGGTAGAACCCTAGTTACAATCTGTTTGACCATGTCGTGGCCTAAATGTCTGGGTCATGTGCGTGGGAACACCCAGTGCATAGATTCGAATTCTCATCATGGCTCCTACAGATTTTCTCATTATCTACATTGTTGTGCACCATAATAAACCACTGAGCTGGTTTGGCAAGTCCAAAGACCATAGCACCACCACACACCAGTCAGCTGATGACACTATCTCACTGGCTAAGATTGCTCCTCCCAACATACTCTTCTTGCTGTTATTACACTATATACACACGTTATATATCACCATCAACATTTATATGCACTATAACAATCTAATATGGAGTTCTGGTGAATATGGTGAGGAAATCAAAAAGCATGGAGCCACATGATACGAGCAGACAATGCCAGCAGTCAAGTAATGCAAGAAAATGCCTCCAATATTCTACACATCTCACTATAACTAGCTAAATAACTGCTGTTATTATCACATTCCTGTCACAAAATCCAAAATATGAATACATTTCCATGAGGTAACATTGTGAAAGGACATGAGGTCGTGTCATGATGTGTAGATGCAGGAAACAATGGCTGGGTGCTGTGTCTTTATGGGAGCATTGATTTTCTGGGTACCTTTCCCAGTGAGCTGGCAGTGTCACCTGCACTCTGCACCTCTGTGAGGAGGGCCAGGTTCTGGCTCTTGTTCCCAGTAGGCCGAACTCATCCCCACAGCAGATGCGACCCAGTACAGTAGTTTGTTTCAGGGAGGCATAAGGAACTTCCCTAGAAAAGTATTCTACATACCATCCCTAGAGACATACAGGTTACAAGCAACATAATTTATTATTGCCAATCATCAATGGTTTTTAAAAGCATGCAAGTGTTGGAAAAAATCTTATGATGAAATGCATTTTGTAATAGCAAAGAAAATTCAGTTACAAACAAATTTGCTCATCTATTACTTACATGATCATGTGTATATTTGCCATCGATTAGAGTACTCGGTGGTGGCTGTTGGTTACCACATGTAGACACTGCCAGAGCATGACATTTACCAAGACTCAAGGTTATAAGTTTGACAATCTCATGGCTGCGGTTAAGTTCAGATAGGGTTGCCTGAAACAATAAATTTTTAAATGTGAAAAAGAATGTTAAACTTTTTTTCATCAAAGTTGCTTAAAAAAAAGTAATCTTGTTCTCAATGCTGGCATAGCACAAGCAAAAATGCAATATTCTTAAAAATAAAAACCCTGCTCACTTTACAATACATACATTAGAAAATACTCTTTGAAATACAAATCCCCTACCTAACACACTCTTGTACCATTGCATTTTGTACCATTTCACAGGCTTGCCTATCACTTTATAGAAAATCACTTGCCTATCACTTTATAGAAAAAAAGGATTGACTTCTTTTTTTCCAGCTCTTATTTAGACTTTTTGCCTCAACGAGGTTCCATTTCAACTTCTCTGTCTTCCTTTGAAAGATCTCGTCTTAACCATAATTTACATTTCTTATCGCTTATTAATTATCTAACATTCCTTAGTACTTCTTCCATCTATTTAAGACTGTTTTTGTTTGAGTAATCCTCAAGTGTTGATCTTTCCCTTTTTCGTACCTGCCAAATATCTTGTAGTTACAGATATTATCTTTGGTTGTAAGACCTTCCACTAACCCAACAATTTTATCTATTACTTTCGCTTCTTCTGCGGTTCTTTCTGACCTAGATGTTCTCTCTTTTTCTTTGCAACCAAAAGTTAATTGGTCGATAACACTGTCGATAATTCGATCAACTATGTTTTGCACCAGTTTTGGGTCTGATGTCAGTTCCTTTCTGACTTCCAGTCTAATGTCTGTGATTTTCCGAGTGCTGCAGTGTCTGGCTTCCTTTACAGCTTTCTCTATTGTGAACAGTGTGGGTGGGGGTGTGGTGGAAGTGTGGGTGGGGATAGTGTGGTGCATAGTGGTTAGCAATGGAAAGTGAAATAGCAATTTTTTTTAAACAATAAGGAATCCCATACCAGGAACACCTAATGAAATGGACAGAGTATGCCAATGCATATACAACAATTTTATTTCTTCCTGAACAGTACAAATATGAAATAAAACCATTTAACTCACCTTTTCAGTTTTAAAGTAAGATGCTCCTCCCTTTGTGATTGACTGTGCCAAATAATGAAGCTGCTTAAGTGGCAGGTAAACAGCTGGGCTTCTTTTAATATCTTCAACACAGCGCACTATATAAGATTTACGAAGCTGCAACAAATAAAATGTTTTTAACATCAACCTTTTACATGCTACATACTGCATCGTACAAATTTTAATCCATGTTGATTATTTACTTGGTACACTTACATATATTTCATTTGATCTCTATTTGAACTTAATAGAAACAACTTGCTACCAACAACAATAGTTACCAGCCTGTTTAAATACAGTGAAACCTCAGTATTCGAACAGCTCCCAAAGCGAACTTTTTGGCATTCATTTTTGGTATTCGAACATGAACATTGTGGAGGGTCTTCCACCTTCACTGTGGGAGACCCGTACTCTAATTTTGATGATTCCACACTGCCAACCCACCAGTGTGATTCGTTTTTGTCAAGATGGCCCACCCTCAACAATATGGGATCAACCCCAATTTGTTGCATCTAGAGATTTGCTGCAATCAGATGAGCCTTCAAGAGACATCTGTATTATGCATTTTTTGAGAAAAATACATTGCTTCACCTGTTTCTCCTTATGTTTCATTAATCTATGAAATTTTTTAAAACGTGACTGGAGCGATATTTAAGGAGTTACCATTGATACTCAAAAGCTTCCCATAATCTATGGGCTAATTTCAGTGAGGGACACTTTAATTTTGACCTATCACATGAGGGACAACTGCCAGGAGAACCTGTCTGTAAACAGATTTCTCCACATCTACTTTATTCCCATGCTCCAGCCTCGAAACCTCATTTTCATAGGAAGCAGTGACCATACAAGCGAATGAAAAACATGCAAAATGAAAATGAACCATAGAATTTGGTTTTAAATATGTTCAATGGCTAACCCAAGGCCCACAACTCTTTCTTCTAATGTTGTCATCTATGAAAATAATTAAAATGAGACTGGAGCCATATTGTGCTATCATTCATACACTAATATTTTCCACACTTACACTAAGAAATCACACCACAACATTCATGTATATCACATTACAGTGTGATTTTGTTGTGCATGTGAAGCTGGAGCATATGGTTGATGAACTAATTTATCTACACCAGAGTACATAGAAGATGTGTAAAGCTTGGACTGGTTTCAGTAGAAGCCCCAAGACTTCCTGTGGATTGAGTGGAATCCCAGTTTGTTTAATTTTTACAAAGTCGTAGTGCAGGGGATAGCGTGCGCAATTGGGAGTACCCTGATCGCTGGTTCGAGTCACCTCATTACTCCAATTGATTTTCTCATTTCCCACACTCTTTGGACTAATGTCACTGAGCAAAATTAAAATTTCAACTGATCATACAATGGATAATTCAGGAGATCCTGACTGTAAAGAGATTTCACCCTCATTATCAGTATTTCTCAGGATCCAGCCCCCTTGAATCTTATTTTTTAATGACAGAGCCATGACCCAAAAATGGTGTAAATAAACCAGGAACAGCAACTTTTCCATAGATCTGTAAACTCTGGCTCTGCACCCAATAAATGTTGTTATTAAGAACCCCCACAAGTTTTGAATAATAACCTCAGGATAATGATCAGTAAAATTGGTAATAACTGTAAAAGTTATTAGATCCATTACCTGGTCTCTTGTAGCAGATTCATTAAGAATGGTCAGGTGTTCATTCATTGCTTGATGCACTAGTTTTGGTGGTAAAGCTGGAACACGGGCTAGAGCCCACAGGGCATCAAGCATCTTCTCTGCAGTTCGACCCAAGTGTGAATCTTGGCCAATCTTCCCAATGAAAGTGAGAAGTTTTTCACGCAAGCGATCATTTCCACCATCCCAGCTCTGGAGAGATTTCATTCAGTCAACAATTTATACAACTATTGTACTAAAACATATAAAACTTAACCCTAAAAATGCAATTATCAAAATTGTTACCTTGCCTGTGCACCATATCCCCCCCCCCACCCTCCAAAGAAACCCAGCATTGAATGGAATAAAACTTCAATTTCTGGGCGAACACCAGTGGCTCCCTGAGGCTACTATACCGATATAGTGCCAAACTAGCAGGTGCCATCAGTCATGGAGTTCTCATTGGCCTACCAGAGACCACGAGCCAGAACCTGGTCCAGTCAGATTCTGGCTCGTTGCACTATGAAAACTTTAATGTACTGTAAAATAACATGAGTTATTCATGTCTGCCACCACCAAGGGATTTTTTTTTTAATTTTTCTTTATTATGCACCCATACCCATCCCGTAGGCAGTGGTGGAAAGAGTTACAGAGGCACATAATGGGTTCAGGAACTGAACCCCCATAGTTCGTTTAGCTATGCAAGTGACAATCTTTTGAAGCTAGTTACACAACAGTTTTAATGTTTCATACGCATGTACATATACAGTATATACAATTATTTACACAAATACATATACAAATCAATAATCTTTATATATTGCAAGTGATTCAACAAGAGGCTCACAACTGTCTCTATACAAGGCAATTTACATCTATGGTGAGTCACAAAGTTACTAATATTGCACCACACCCACCCAACCGAGTGACAGCTTTACCGTCATGTACAGGCTGCACCTACAGTAAGCGAATTTTGGGTACTTCGCTAAGCTTCCTGGTAGTACTGGTCCTGGTAGTACTGGTCCTGGTAGTAATATTGCCGGAACAACCGTGGACATCTTCAAGAGGAAACTAGATTGTTTCCGCCAAGGAGTGCCGGACCAACGGGGCTGTGGTGGGTATGTGGGGCCTGCGGGCCACTCCAAGCAACAGCCTAGTGGACCAAACTTTCACAAGTCAAACCTGGCCTCGGGCCAGGCTTGGGGAGTAGAATTCCCAGAACCCCATCAACCAGGTAAGTACATCATTATGAATGAAGTACTTACACATTTCTTAGACTCCATTGATGGTGTTATATCTGAATTCTGCAATTTTTTCACATTCCATTACATAGTGATGCAAGGTATGTGAATAGTTCTGCTGACAGTTTAAATTTAGTCAAAGATACATCAACAGATGTTGCAAACTCTGACAGATACTTGTAGCCAAGCCTAAGCCTAACGGTGATAACATCTAGAAATCTTCTAACCTTATTGGATGACCCATAGACATGCGGTTCTTCCTGCATAACAGAATGATGATAGATGGAATAACTGGTGTGAATTTCATTTTGCTGTAAGTCTTCAAGATTTTGTTGATGTTACCAGAATATCACTGGCCTCAGGCTGCTCAGAGGCAGTTCAAGATGGTAATCAATTCCCTCTTTATGAGCAAAAGTTTTGGCTAACTCATCAGTTCTATCATGCATTCGGAAACCAATATGGGAAGGAATCCACAGGAGACAAACTCTGACTTCACCATTGATTATTTCTATATATTTGTGTCTAGATTCAGACAGAAGCATGTCACAGTTATGCCTTGGGGAGCTGAGTGCAGTCAAGGATGACAAGGAGTCACTTACAATTACCATGTCAACTTTGGATTCATATACGCACTCTAGTGCAAGGATTATGGCAAAAATTCTGTTTGAAGAGTGGAGGCCCAGTTATTTCGCTGTCACAACTGCACTTCCAGCTGCACCATAGGACTGGTGCAAGGAGCCATCAGTGTAAATAATTTGGGAAAGGAGCACTCTTTGACCAAAGCACCAATTTGGCTTAAGGCATTGTACTTTACTTCTTGTCGAAGCAAGGGTTGTTCTTTAATCAGCGTGGGTGGGAAAGGGGGGGACAGTTATTTGGAAAGGGGTGATCTCCCATGTGGGCAGGAAAGTGTTGTTGTTATCTTTCTCTTGGTAGAGGTGATAAATATCATACATTGAGCACGGTGGCAGTTTTGGTAATCCATTTGGAGGGATGCTGGCCTTCAAGAAAGAAGGCTTGGAGGGCTTCAGTGCTGGGGTTATGGTGGGCTAGCCTAAGCATCTTAATACCAATTAAAGCATTTATTTCAGTGATATGATCACTTACACATGGAATATTCAGTTCATTCCTCATGTTTGGTAATTTAGTTGTATGGGGGCATTCAAGGATAATCCTCATGATTTCGTTTTGCATCTTTTCCAGCCCTCCAAGCATTCTCTCAGGCACTAGAGCAAGCATGGGTGCAGCATAATTAATCAGAGATCTAATATATGAGATACATCAATTTGGCAATTCTCACATTTGCACCATAGCTTGGATGGTAGCCTGCCACAGCATTGAGAGCATGGAGCCTCTCTCTACATTGACGACCCAGTCTGGCTACAACATTACGGTACAGTGGAACCTCAAGACCAAGGTATTTGTATCTGGTTACATAGTTGAGCAGCTGCATCTTGCAAACAGCCTCACCATGTCTGAGTGGGCATCGGTTCAGAATCTTTGTTTTCTCTACTGAGATGATTAAGCTTAGTTCATGACATGTGTTCAATACAGAGTTCAGAACATTTTGGTGTTGGTATACCCATTGGTGTGGACCACTATATCATCCATATAGCTAATGATGTCTGGCCCCTTCTGCTGTCAGGCCATTTGTTAGGCCCTTGCGTGAAGCCGTATATCTGGGGAGACAACAAGTTACTAATTCTGTAAAGGAGACGGTTTAGAAGCAGCCTCTTGAGACACTTACAAAGACAACTAGTGAGGGAGATTGGGCAAAAAGCACTCTGCTGGTTAGGTTTCGGAATGGGAATAGTAAGGCTGCTGGTCCATGACTTTGGAAGCTCCCCAGTTACATAGCTCATATTATACAATTGAAACAAAGGATTTCCTGGCACTAGCAGAAGCATACGTAGTATGCTGTAACTAACTCCATCCTCCCTGGGTGATGTAGCTCTGCCTTTATGCAAAGCAGTATAGTTCGTATTTAGTAAAAAGCATGTCATAGTCATCCTTCTGATGAAGCCAATTGTGAATAGTGCTGACTTCATTCTTCATCCTCCTGCAGCCCATCCTCCGAATAGACAGTACGTTTTAATACTAAATGTAATAGGTACAATCCTGACTATCGGCAAAGAACATAAATACACTTAATCGCTAGCATCGCACCAAAATATTGTGAATATTAGAGTTTACCTGAAAAGCTGTATAGAAAACCACGGCCTAACCTAACCTTTGGGAGTGTAGGAGGACAAGCATGTAAACAGCATTTATTGCTTCTTAATTACAAGTAATACTTAACCTATAGCTATATTGATATTACAATTTTATAAAACTAATAAAAGAAAACTAAAGTCTTTCAATAAATTATAAAGTAACTCAGGATATTTTCAAATTTTGTATAAAATTTCCATTGTTTAATAAAACTGAAAAAGAAATTCTATATATTTAAAACTTGTATATATAGAATTGAACACAAAAACTTCAACCTAAAAATTTTGAGTGCACAGGTATTAACAGAAAATGAGGAGAATATATGGGGAGGTAAATGTAACATCACAATTAAGTGTATTTATGTACTATGCAGACAGTCAGGAATGTACTTATTACATTTAGTATTGCCCATTCGGAGGAAGGGCTGCCTCCTGATGAAGCATGATACCAAGGAGCCATGCTCTATCATCATATCTATTATTTAATTCATTCTGTGTGTTAGAAGACTGTCAAACCTGGAAGTTGTGGCCCAAGCATCAACAAGCTCATTTGCTCTGAAGGGGATTAGGGTGCGAGATCTCTGCAGCATTTTTCCCTTTGATTTTGACGATATCCTTCGATGCCCAGCTTCATGGCATGTGAGAATTGAGACCACTGACTAAAGTTTCCCAGTCTGTCTGCCTCAGCTCTATCATACATTCCCTGGCTTCAGCCAGGGCCGTTTGAAAGAGCATAAGCATTTCAGTAGTGTCGGTCCTTCTATAAGCTAGCCAAATTCTTAGACTTTGAGAAGTACATCATTAGCCCGACCTACTGAAAGATGTGGAGAAACTCCTGAGTTCGGACTCTGAGCAAGTAGCACCTGAAACCAAGATTTGGCTGGCCACCAAGGAACCAGAAAAATTACCCTCCCCCCTATAGGACTCCAACCACACCAGCACCCAAAGCAACAGCTGGACCAGGGAAAAATGTAAATGAACCCCATCTCAATCAGTCCAGCTGAAAGGCGTTCACTGCGAGAGCACTGCAGTTGGGAAACAGAGCCGCATAAAGAGGCAGACATCGAGACCATGCCATTGCAAAGAGGTCAACGTCTTGGCATCCGAACATCCGGCAAAGCCACAGGAAGGAAGCATCGTTTGACACCTGGGCATCTGAATGCCACAGAAAGGAAGTGGTGTCAACAGTCCATTCCGTGGAGATGGGAAGGAACCGGGACAGACCATCGGCCAGGACGTTGGACACTATTTCTATACTTCTAACTATTTTCTTACTCTATGGATTAAAAGAAAAGCAATCAAATAACCAAAATTCATGGTAAAGAAACTAATGATTATTGAAGGGAATATTTTCTACAATGTTTCATTCCACACTGGAACATCTTCAAGTAAGGAATGAAAATACAGGGTTATTTGTTGTTATTTTAGATTCAGCTACTCTGAACAAAAAGTTCCAAGTTGCACGAGCATGAGCTACGGTGACCCCTGTAGTGGACTTACCTGGCACAGGAGCGGGGTTGTATTTTGAAAAAATACAGGGTTCAGCTTTATCTTAAATGCACATATGAAAGAGGTGAACTTGCATGTGGGGTGAAGTGAAGAAATCACACACAGGTGAAGAAATACTGGTAGGTGAATAATAAGAATGAATGCCAATCAAACATTGGGTAAGGCAGTGGGCAAGGAGAACTCGATACAGATGTCGTTCCGGTGCTGTATGGTGCGGTTTCGATTTGAACGTAGGCAAGGTATCGAAGTTGTTACTCTGTATATTCAAGGTGGGTATTTTTTCCTTTTATGAGTACAACTTCCAGTATTTGCAATCTTCTCTGGTCAGTGGTGGATGCCAGAATTGATGTTTTTTCTACTAGCATATTCTAGTGAGAGTTGTGTTTTGTACACTTTGCATATGATTTCTAGGTGCACCAGCTTGTAGATAGTAGGTCAGTCTTCTCGAAAGCTTTACATTGGTCATACCAACATAAGTAAATCAAAGGTGACATCCTTCATTTGGGCACATAAATTGGTATACCTGGTTTGCTTTTTGGAGAGCACTGTATTGTTTATTGGGGCTGTTCTTAAGTACTAAATCAGCATTAAATGCTGATTTAATGCACTGTATTAACATAACCAAATGTAATGAAGACTTGCCTAACCTAATCAAACTTTACCCTAAAATAACCTTAGCCTAACGTAACCATGGACAGATAGTAGATAAAAATACTAATTATGTAGTCTTTCTCAAACCATTCCTGTGGGCATATTTCCTCCTTGAGGACAGGATGCCCAGATCATCAAGGATTTAGTGGTAGGATCCTATCTTATGTAATTACTCAACCTACTATGACAGAATCATGGAATTGGTGACCATTTTCTACCAGAGGTAGTAACTGGTTCAACTAATCAAAGGGGCATTTTATATTATTCCTCTTCTTTTTCCTGGATCAATTCATTCTTACCCATGTGAAAGTGGAATACAGGGTAATGGTGATTGTTCTAAGTTTCATGCCAGTGCAAATACATGTTCTCCAATAATGTTAAGAAACAATGTGTTAACAGTTCAATACAATAAAACAAACATGGACAAATAATTATATATTCTCCAAGCATGGATACATCAACACTTTCATATTCTTTACCATTAAGAAACAAAAAATTATGAAAATGGATGGCCCACAGCACACTATGGCCCACCTATCTAAAACCCAAAATACCTTTCTGACGAGGCTCAAAAGGTGATCAAACTGGTGAGGATTGAAGCGTGTTGCAGCAGCTGCCATAATACGGTGGATATTGTCAACTACATGAGGACTGGCCTTTTCTGCCATGTGCCAGATACGCGTCAGCTCCTCCTCTTGCAACTTTGGCCCCATAAACTCTACAAGCTCCTTCATGCGATCTGTATACTGTACTTGGTCGATGTTACCTTAAGTAAAGAAGCATTGTAAAAATATGTACGTTATCTTCATTCAGCATAAAAAAAGGCATTATTCTAAACTTCAAATCTAATGTGTATATTTTCTTGAATATACACTTACCTTCTAATGCAAGGGATAGCACACGTTTACTTGTCATCCATTCTTGAATGATATCTGCATCAAGAATATTGCCATGACACCTTTCGCTATCTTCAATAAGCCTTGCAAGTTCCTGTGTAAATAATTGTGTGATCAATGATTCAACAAAATTTAAATATTTGAAAATTGTACAGTAACATGAAATTTAATAATGAATACTGGGATTCTATTTAATATAAATTTTTATGGAATCATTTGTTTCATCTTGTCAGTAAACATCATGATACAAAAATTTTTAACCAATTGTAGATATCATACTACAGTACTTATATATTGTGAGTATAGGAGTAGTCTCACAGTATGTTATATCCAAATTAGATAACTTTCCTGCTCTTGAGGAATAAAAATCAATCAATCAAAACCCAGCATTGAATGTAATGAAATGCCTCTTTCTTAGCTCCAGTGGCTTCATGAAGCTATCTCGCTGAGATTAATCTCATCAACTAGGTCCCATCAACCATGGAGTTCTGTTTGGACTCCCAGGGATCAATGCCAAAACCTGGCGTGCTCAAAAAGGAACAGAGTAAGTGACATTCTGCAACCCCCACCAAGAAAGCATCTGTAAAGTCAGTGAAGCATTGCAGATCACTGCAATGTTGAGTTCATAAGAACTGAAGCCTTGAAAACTGCCAACTAACTCCACCAAATGTTAATAAACAATTACTATATCTCTCAAAACTAACTTGAATCTATTAGTAGTACCAACCCACTGCCACAAGGAGGCTTGTAGCCCCAGCCCCCACCAACCCTCCAAAGTCAATTCTGGATTAGATGAAAAGCCTACAACCACCAACCTATGCTTAGGGCCCATGCAGGAATATCCATGGAAACAAAACAAAAATAAAAGGGAGCGAGTGAGTGAGTCAGGGAGCCACTGCCTTGAAGAAGGAATCCCAGACTAAAATATAAAAGTTGATGGTGGAGCAACTTGCTGACCTGGTCTGCTTCCCTCCTTCCCCCAAACGAGTGGGAAGAGGTGGGGCAATCCGGCCCGCGCTAGTTTTATGAATTTTTTATAGTTTGTTTACATTGTTGGAGTTTTTTTTTTTACTGTTTTGAGGCTGTGATCTCATTTCTAACCAAGCAGTAGTTGATTTTATTGTGCTAACTTTCTGGGTGTCTTTCCTTTGATGGTGGCTGACATGAATAAATTTACAAATACAAATTTTTTATAGAGATATTGCTCCCTGCACCTCTCTGAGGGAGGCCAGATTCTGGCTCGTAGTCCCCAGTAGGCCAATAAGAACTCTGCGACTTATGGCACCTAGTAATTTGGCTCTATATCAGTATAGTAGCTTGAGGAAGTCACAAGGAGCTTCCCTCCCCAGAAAAGGCAATCTTTTCACTTGTGAAATAATTCTAACCTTTAAAGCATTCATACGCGCAGAAAAATGTGGCGTTTTTAACATGCGAATAATCATTTCCAATCTCAGATCACTTGTACGCTGAACTTTTTCGGGCCAGAGAGACACGCACAAAAGTCGTACCGCTTCTAACAAGTCATAGCAGGATCCAATTTTCTGGAAGATAATTAGTAATCAGCATTAGCTAATTTTCACAAAAAAAAACTTACTACTATTAAATAATGTGCACATGGAAATTCAAATGTAATAAGTATAAAGTAAAATTCAACAAAACATGAGCAAATTTCAGCAAATGAATTGCCACAAAGGGGCAAACAAAATTCAAATCTAATTGAATAGCTGAGAACTTACTTGTCCCTTGAGCTGCTTTTCCTCCAGATTGGCAACATACTGGAGAGCTTGAGAAACTGCTGGCAACATGATTGGACAAACTGTATCCTTTACCAAAAACTTGGCACACTGCCCTAAAGGAAAGAGTAGTGCAGCCATCTGACCCGCATCAAGTTGTTCTTCAGAGGAAAAGTGACCAGCTACTAGCTCTAAGCCTCCACGATTGCCAAAAATGTTAATGAGGTCCATTAGCCAACCGTATGATTCCTGTAATAAATAATACAGCTCCTGTATGTGGTACATCAACATTAGGCTACACTAATTCCCACTTTCTAGGGGAAACCAGGGAAACAGCACAAGAAAGAAAAAATCCTATTACACCTGTCCTTTCACCAAACTGAACACACAACACATCATCATGAAAAACCATCCCCACTACAAGTTACCATTATAAATCAACAAAGTTATTCCTGTGCTGCTCTTCACCTCATTTCTACTGATAAATGCAACTTCTCCAGGCCACTATAGATACATTAAAAAATGTAGACTTTATATTTGGATTTTTGTGCTTCCAGGGTGCAGATGTTAAAAGAAAAAGAAATTTTCAGCACAATTTATTTTTTGTGCACCCTGGGGGATATTGGCTACTGTATAACCCTCAGACAGCGGTTATCGTCATATGTTGATTCACCGGATAATGCAGCTATCGTCACATGACGATTTAAACAATTAGGGTCTGGATTTTACATGTATGATGCAAATAAGGATATAATAGCTCTCCATGGATGTAATGGAGTTTACTGTGACCCATGAAAAAATCCTGCTATAATTTCATAGTTATGTTACTATGTGAATGCAGTTACCATCATGAACGTTAATAAGTGAATGTGATCATTGTTATTGTATAAAATTCCATCATAACTGTATATATATACTAATGATCATATGGTTTTCACAACTCCCTATGATTGTAATGAAGTATACCAGATAAGTCCGTCATCAATTGAACCATTATCATGCGTTACAGTACCTGTATTAGGAGACAATCATCATCTGCCGTAGCACTTTGGTTGCTTACGACTTTCATTTAATCTATACTATCGCCCATATGGTGCCAATTAAGCCACATCATTGCCCACAGCCCAATACTATTGTATATTACATTCATATCCTTTTCACTATTCTATACTGGCCGTAATGGGGGTAAACTAATCATCAATTGAAACATTATCATATGTTATGTGAATTATGTGATTTATAAAGTTATTCAACATGCATGCTCTTGTTAATAAAGAGAAACAAGTACTTGCTTAGTTGTATTCACCTACGTGTGCTTGCAGGAGTTGAGCCTCGGCTCTTTGGTCCTGCCTCTCAATTATCAATCAACTGGTGTACAATTCCTGAGTCAATTGGGCTCTATCATATCTACATTTGAAACTGTGTATGGAGTCTGCCTCCATCACATCACTGTCTAATGCATTCCTTTTATCAACTACTCTGGCACTGAAAACATTCTTTCTGACGTCTCTGTGGCTCATTTTGGTACTGTACTAGATTTCCACCTGTGTCCCCCTTTGTTCGTGTACCACCCATGCTAAATAGTTTATCTTTATCTACCTTGTCAATTCCTCCAAGAATTTTATAGGTGGTGATCATGTTTCCCCTAACTCTTCTGTTTTTCCAGTGTCGTGATGTTTAGTTCCAGTAATCTTTCCTTGTAGCTCATACCCCTCTGCTCGGGGACTAGCCTGATGGAATACCTTTGAACCTTTTCTAACTTTGTTTTGTGTTTGACTAGATATGGACTCCACACTGGAGCTGCATACTCCAATATTGGTCTGACATACGAGGTATACAAGGTTCTGAATGATTCCTTACACAAGTTTCTGAAGGCAGTTCTTATATCTGCCAACCTTGCATATGCCATTGATGATATCCTTTTGATGTGAGCTTCAGGGAACAGGTCTGGCATGGTATCAAGCCCCAATCTCTCTCTCTGATTCCCGAAGGATTTTTTCTACCAACTGGTATCTTGTGTTCGACTTACTGCTCCCTATGCCTACCTTAATCACTTTGCACCTGCTTGAATTAAACTCTAATCGCCATTTGTTGAATCATTCCTTCAGTCTGTCCAGGTCATCCAGTAGTCTCTTGCTGTCCTCCTCGGTCTTAATCCTTCTCATAATTTTAGTATCATCAGCAAACATTGAGAGGAATGTTGACCAGACCACACACTAGAAGTTGAAGGGACGACGACGTTTCGGTCTGTCCTGGACCATTCTCAAGTCGATCCTCATTGAGAGGAATGAGTCTATACCTTCTGAAAGATCATTTACATATACAAGAAACAAGATAGGTCCGAGTACAGAACCCTGTGACACTCTGCTGGTGACATCACGTTATTCTGAGGACTCACCCCTCACAGTAACTCTACTTCCTGTTGCTTAGGTATTTCCTTATCCATTGGAGCACCTTACCAGTTACTCCAATTAATGGAACTTCTCCAATTTATGGAAGTCTCTTATGGGAGGGGACTTTATCAAAAAGCTTTCTGACAGTCCAAGAAAATGCAATCTGCCCACCTATCTCTTTCTTGCTTAATGATTGTTGCTTGGTCATAGAATTTTATTAAACCTGTGAGGCACGATTTGCCATCCCTGAACCCATGCTGGTGGTGTTACAAAGTCCCTTCTCTCCAGAAGTGCTACCAGCCTTTCTCATGATCTTCCTAGAACCTCCTGCCTATCACTTTTTGTATATTGGGACTACACTAGCTGTCTTCCAACTTTATGTTTCCAGTGACTTGTTATACACCAAAGAGTGGCATGCAAAGTACTTCTACCCACTCCTTTAGCATGCATGGTGAGATTCCATCAGGTTCAACAGCCTTAAACACATCTAGATCTAACAGATACCTCCTCACCTCATCTCTGGTAATTTCAATATCTTAAAAGGCTGCTTGGTTTATTGCCTCCTTTCTTAGTTAAGGGACTTTCCCTTGCTCTACTGTGAAGACCTTCTGGAATCTCTTATCGAGTTCTTCACATACCTCTGTCATTCTCTGAGTACCCAATCTCTCCCTTTCTCAGTTTCATCACCTGTTCTTTTGCTGTTTTTTTCTCCTGATGTGGCTGTATAAGAGTTTTGGTTAGGTCTTGGCTTTATTTGCTATATCATTTTCAAACTGCCTCTCTGCTTCTCTTCTCACACTGAGGTACCCATATTTCTGGCCCCTCTGGCATCTCTCTCAGTTTGCTGGTGTCCTGTTATTTTTGTAGTTTCTCCATGCCCTCATGCTTGGGTGCCTTGCTTCCTTACAAGCCTTATTGAACCACCGATTCCCATTTTGCTTTTCGTTCTTTCTTTCTGGGCTGGGATAAACCTGTTTTTTGCCTCCTGACACTTCTGGGTGATGTAGTCCATCATGTCTTGTACAGAAGTTTCTCTGAGCTCTGTTTTCCATGGTATTCCTATTATATATTTTCTTATCTCATCATAGTTCCCCTTCAATGTGCAAGCCTTTTGCTTTTCAGTCCTTTCCTTGGATAGGTTATTCCTGCTTCCTCCAGATAATTAAATGTTATAGTAGTACACTGTGGCCATTTATTCCTATGGGTGGGGGGGGGGTGTCTGATTTGACTTCCTTTGGATTCTAATTGGACTCGTTCAGGGTGAATATCAGATCAAGTGATAAACAATCGGAGAAACTTCCGAGGAGAACACAGACACAAATAGAATAAATGAATCGAGTGTCTTGCGTATGTCAGTGTTAGCAAAGTCGGACATCATGTGTTGACAGACACCAGACTACAGCCACCGGGCAACCTTTCAGAGTGCCTCCACCCAGTAAAATTTAAAATATTAACTTATTTTCATGTTTTTTCTTTCATTTTGCATACATAATAATTCTATAATGACTTTTTATTTTAATTATTTTATTTTTTGCTCATAGGCAGGAATGACCATTTTGCTATAGCCACTGTTTAGGAGTTAACAGGCGTGCAGCCCAGTGGCTAAAAAGGCAAGGACCATGCAAAAAAAATGCCAATAAACTTTAAACTGAAGTTCAACTATGGAAAAAGATTATCAAAGAATCTGTTTACTTACAAATTGCGAGGTAGATTCTGCATATATGACATCTCCAGTGAATTCAGCTGGGCGGTGTTTGTTTTTTTGATTCCATTCACATTTAGAATCCATGGCCTATGAAATCATTTACATAATTTATTAAATAAATATTAAATATCAAGACTAAACCAACAAAAATGCAGAAGGTAGTCCTAATGGCACATTCAAGGCTTGCCATAAGAAGTATAACTCATAATAATTAAATAATTATTGTCCAAGTTCTATATGATATAATAAAGTGTATACAATATAATATGATGAGCTATAGAGGAAAAAGTACTTACAAGAGCATATACGTCCTTGAGTAAGGCCTCTGGAACTGGCCCATGCTTTAGCCTTACAATTACAAGGCTTGTGAGCAAGTCAAGCATATTAAAAACACCCTCTTGGATTTCTAAACCCCATCTGCGAACTGCTCCATTTGCTAACAGTTTGTGAAAACATTCTGGAAGGCACCGATCCATGAAACGATGGCAAGACTCGTCAACATCACACAGACCTATCAATAATAGAATAAATGAAAATAATATTTTAAACAGGAATTATAAACATACTGGTAAATGTGACACAGTAGAATCCGTGCCCAAAGACAGAATAATAATTAAAAACTACAGGGTTGCTTACTGGAATGATTTACTGCCTAGGTGCCTCTCTCTAAAGTAATGCAGTCAAGCATCATAGATATAAAAAAAAAAATCAAGCATAGCATGTAATTAAACACCCATTTCTGGTAGGCTTTCTGTAGCACCTCGGTGCTTAAACACCGGTACAGCTAAGTGTTAGCATCACGCTAGGCAAGTGAGCATGGAAGATTGTAGGCTGGGACTACAACCTGATGGCAGTTTGAGAAATTGATTAGATTGAATAGCAATGACCCAAACTATATGACAATGAGAATAAAGAACCTTAATGGAAATATGAAAGTTCTTGTATATAAGTGCATAATAAACAGGGAAGGATATCTGGAAAAACAATTTGCAACCTGGGATTCAACTGAACCTTCTAGGGTTCCTGAGGCTTCCACTGAAGCCAGACCAGTTTCACAAAATTCCCCCCATGCACTCTGGCTTTGTAGTCCAGGAATTCAACCTCCGATGCTTTTGTTGCAATTCCTTTGACCATGTCGTGGTGTAGTCGTCTAAGGCATTTGCTTGGAAGTACTCGGAGCATATGTTCAAATCCTCCTCATGGTGCCTACTGATTTTCTCAGATATATCACATTAATGTGGTTTCTATGATTTTTTTTGGTATACTATCAAGAGCAGCCAAAAACAGATAAGAAAAGCGAAAAAAATCATGAAATGTGTATAGCAGAACAGGTAAAAACATACCACAAAGGGATCTTCCATATACTGGTACATATGCCAAACAAAGACGGGCACTTTCAAAAATGAGTTCAGTCATTTAATTGGTAACCCTACCTTACCTTGAGGTTACCTTGAGGAGCTTCCGGGGCTTAGCGTCCCCGCGGCCCGGTCGTTGACCAGGCCTCCTGGTTGCTGGACTGATCAACCAGGCTGTTGGACGCGGCTGCTCGCAGCCTGACGTATGAGTCACAGCCTGGTTGATCAGGTATCCTTTGGAGGTGCTTATCCAGTTATCTCTTGAACACTGTGAGGGGTCGGCCAGTTATGCCCCTTATGTGTAGCGGAAGCGTGTTGAACAGTCTCAGGCCTCTGATGTTGATAGAGTTCTCTCTCAGAGTACCTGTTGCACCTCCGCTTTTCAACAGGGGTATTCTGCACATCCTGCCATGTCTTCTGGTCTCATGTGATGTTATTTCTGTGTGCAGGTTTGGGACCAGCCCCTCTAACATTTTCCACGTGTAAATTATTATATATCTCTCCCGCCTGCGCTCAAGGGAGTACAGATTTAGGCTCTTTAGTCAGTCCCAATAGTTAAGGTGTTTTACCGAGTGAATTCTAGCAGTATAGGATCTCTGCAAGCTCTCCAGGTCGGCAATTTCTCCAGCTTTGAAAAGGGCTGTCATTGTGCAGCAGTACTCCACTCTAGAGAGCACAAGCATTTTGAAAAGTGTCATCATCGGTATAGCATCTCTAGTGTGAAAAGTTCTTGTTATCCAACCTGTCATTTTTCTTGCAGTTGTGACGGCTACTTTATTGTGTTCTTTAAAGGTAAGGTCTTCCGACATGAGTACACCCAGATCCTTTACATTGCCTTTTCGTTCTATGTCATGATTTGCCTGAGTTTTGTACGTGGTTTCAGTTTTTATAGTTTCATTTTTTCCATAGCGCATGAGCTGGAACTTATCTTCGTTAAACACCATATTATTTTCTGTAGCCCATAGAAAGACCTGATCTACATCTGACTGGAGGTTTGCAGTGTCCTCTATGTTGCCTACTCTCATGAAGATCCTAGTGTCATCTGCAAAGGATGATACAGTGCTATAGGTTGTGTTCTGGTCTATGTCTGATATGAGGATGAGAAAAAGTACTGGAGCAAGCACAGTACCCTGGGGGACTGAGCTCTTCACAGTTGATGGGCTGGATTTTATTTTGTTGACTATTACACATTGGGTTCTGTTGGTCAGGAAATTGTAGATCCATCTGCCTATTTTTCTGGTAATTCCCTTTGAACGCATTTTATGTGCAATAATGCCATGATCACATTTATCAAAAGCTTTTGCGAAATCTGTGTAAATTACATCAGCGTTTTGTTTGTCTTCCATAGCATCTAATGCCATATCATAGTGGAAGTGAATAGAAATTGGACATTATTCCCTTAAAATGTTTCTTTGACTTTTGCCTTAAGACAGCTTAGGGAAGATGTCCCAACCTCAAAACCCTCAGACGCATCGAGAAAGGAAGCATGGGAGGGAGAAGGAAAGGAAGGGCAAACTACACTCAAAGAGGAAAGAAAGAAGAGATGGTGACAACCAAGGCAGAAAACCACCATCTCCATATCTAAGACTTCAAACACCAAATGAGGTAGCCCTGGGGTCTCCCACCAGGCACACAACCTGGATTGCCTCAACCAAGAAAACCTAATATGCAAAGCAGTCACTGCCTGAAGGACCCATTGGAAGGGCCAGAAGGATAGCAACAGAGTAAATCCCACATGACTCAGGACTGAAGATATCACTGACCAAACAGGCAGCACGCTGAGCTAGACAGAATGTCGCCACATGCCACAGATAATCTAATCCACATGAAGCAACAACGGGTACAGGGTGAATGGTGGGGGGGGGGGATAATCATTAGACCACTGAACCTGTAAGGGATTTCCAGGACCTGCAGAGAAAGTAACCCTACAGGACACCCAGGTACTGGGATAATAAGAGATAATAGTAAGCCAACACAGGCTACTGCTGTTGTGAAGACCGACCTTGGCGTGCTGAATGCAGCTCGTGACCCCAGTGTGCCTTGCCAGTCAAATATTACTCCCTATTCAAGGAAACACAGGAAGCCTAAGACCACTAACTCATCCAGGTCAAGTGCCACCACAAGCGAGTTGGACCAGGGACGATAACCTAGGCAGCGCAAGGGCAGCATTTAAGGAGTACACATGGAAGATGACCCGAGTATATGCAACTCCAAGTGCTCTCAACTTCTGGATCATGCAGAACAAGAGTGCACAGGAACAGCTATAAAGGCAAAACACCACTTGGCTGAAAAACTGAACACTGGAGCCAGAGCGACAAAGAGAATGACCAGGTACTCGTTACCCTCAGAAACAAATGACGGTGTATCAGCTGGCTAATCCAGAATTGCCACCCTCCTTCCCGCAAACTAGAGGGAGGTGGGCAAATGAGTTCACATAGTTTCATGAATTTTCAAAAGATTGTTTACATTGTTGGGAGAGTACATGGAGATTCTTGAGGCTGCAGTCTAGCTTATAACCCACAGGAGTCTGTGTTGGTTTGCTGACTTTCTGGGTGCTTCCCTTATGGTGGCAGACATGAATGAATTCATATTAATTTTATCATATGTGCCACGTGCCACCGTTCCATGCGCCTCTTTTGAAGAGGGCTAGGTTCTGGCTCGTGGTCCCCAGGCCTAAAAGAACTTCGTGACTGATAGTATCTAGTAGTTTGGCATACTATCAGAGATGGTAGCTTCAAAACAAAAAGGGGTTCCCCCCTCCCCCCAAGAAAGTCAGTATAAATGGAGTAAAGTTAAAGTGAGTAACTGCTGCAAGTGAGGAGATATAAACTTCTTTATGGGTATAAATTGGATAAGTTTAGATTTAGAAAAGACTTGGATAAATACTGGTTCAGTAACAGTGTTGTTGATTTGTGGAACCAATTACTGTACTGCGTAACGTGGTGGAGGTGGGGTCCCTCGATTGTTTCAAGCGCGGGTTGGACATGTATATGAGTGGGATTGGGTAGTTATAGATAGGAGCTGCCTTGTATGGGCCAATAGGCCTTCTGCGGTTACCTTGTTCTTATGTTCTTAAACAAGGTAATAAACATATCAACACAAAACAGGACAGGTAACAATAGATAAGTTTAGATTTAGGAAAAAGCTGGGGTAAATACTGGTTTGGAAACAGGATTGTTGATTTATGGAACAAATTACCAGATAACATAATAGACATCAGATCAATAGACTGCTTTAAAAATAGGTTAGACATATATGTATGAATGAGTTTGGATAGATACAAATAGGAGCTACCTCATATGGGCCAATAAGCCTTCTGCAGTTTTCGTAATTTGTATGTTCCTGTGGTTGTTTCTGGGTTGTAGCATTGAGGAGCAACTGAGTGGCCTGCCTGAATGAGGCATTTCATTACATTCAACACTGGATTTTTATGGTAGGTTATGTTGATGGTTTTCAAAACATTTTTTTTTTGTGTGTGGGGGGAGCCCCATGTGGCCCCCAGAAGCAGTGTATCTCACTGAGATGGCTTCCAACTACTATATTGCATCAACCATGGAGTTCAGTTTGGCCTACTGGGGACCAGAGCCAGAACAGGTCACCCCTGCAACTCACAGATGCACAGGAAGCAGGTGATACTCAACCACCTCACCCAGAAAGTCAGCAAACCAATACAGACCACTGCTGGGTTCAATAGAGATAGAAGCCTCACAACCTGCCAAATGAACTCCCCAATGATGTCAACAGATGACTGAAAATCTCTCGAAACAAACATGCACACGTTCGCCACATCCCTCCCACTCATTTAGGGAGGGAGGGAGGCCTAGGCTCATGCTATTTCCCGGTTTGTGCAGTAGGTTCTTCCTCTGATACAGCACATACAACACATCAGCAATAGGACTCCTGGGTTGTCAGTAAACCATGGCTGGCCAAATTGCTTTTCAGCTAAGTACATCTTTAGACTCCATCCAGTGGCTTGAATTTCTATGCAATTAGTGTAGCATGGACCTGGCCTTTTAGAGTGCTTAGAGATAACAGCATGTGCTTAGGGCTACCATTCCAAAGTGCTCTCTATTACTGAACCTGCACTGACAGTTATCTTCTCTAATGCATTAGGAAGCTCTCTCTCTCTTAAGAGGTCCTTCCTGCTTTAGATGGC